ATCTCCGAACAATCAATGTGAATTTAAAATTCAGCAATTGTATGTTGAACCTAAACAAACCGACTCAATAATTACTTAGGCCTAAATATACATTTTTTATTTTTAAATTGTATTTGGTTTTTCTTCTAGCTAGGTTAGGGTTCTGCGACTTAAAGTAACTGATTTTATATTTTTATATATTGTTATATTTTGATAAATAAATTTTTATTTTGTGTCCAGCCAGCTCTTGTGTTGTTCGGTCCTCCACTTCTCAGCAATATTGTACCAGAATACTACCGTTGATTTATGCTTCCAAGGGCTTCATCCCTTAATCATTGGAGTTGGGAATCTGGTTACAGGTCAATTAAAAGCTACTTGTATTTTTTTATTCAGAAAAATCTCATTTTACAAAAGTGTCTTACTTTCTGCAAAAGCCAGAAATCATAGGCTTGTGTGCAGCACACGTAGAAACTGGTTGTTAGATAACAATGTATTTTGTCTCCCATCGGTCCTTATTACAACTTTTGTCTTCCTTGTTTTTGGTTAAGGTCTGCCTCACTGTTGTTTTCACTTATACTCTACATTCCAAAGACGACTGTCTATATATACCTAAGCATAAAATTTACTATTTTGAACAAAAATAAAGATGTTGAAACAATTATCCACTGTTAATAGAAACAACAAATAAATAACGCATTAAATAAGTTTTATCTTTAACAATGATATAATAAGTTATTCAAACAACAATATTTGGACCTTTCCGTAAATTAACTACAACTAATTATTATATTGGGTTAGGTTAGGACAATGTTAACGGAAAAGGTCGGTAAACACAGCCCTAACCTAACTTAATATACTAATTAGTGGTAGTGAATTAACGGAAGTGGTAGTGAAAAGGTCCAAATATTTAACCATATTTAAATGGATTCATTGAGATTTAGGTTGAAAGCATGCAGTTAAAATAAACTGCAATCAATTATTATATCAATTATAAATTTCACTGCCATTTAAATCAAAAGATTGCATAAACAAGTACACAGACAGAAGCTATATTAAACAATAAACAAAATACATTTTCAGTTTTAAAAAATTGGTTAAACACTTCGTTAACTTACTAACAACAGGAATGTATTTTGGCATTTAGGAAACCATTATTTTGACTTATTTAGTTGTCTACAATTTCAGAAAGATAAAAAAAACTTGTATTTGTGTTACAGTGGTAAGGATAAATTTATTTTCATACAAAATTGAAGAAGAATTCCCAATGTAAAATTCCTAGTTTAAACGTTTCTTAAGTTGAATTCGTTAGAAAATCGTAATTATTACTTCCAATATAGAATGTTTGGGTTGCAATTCAACCTATTTAAAATTTCGATCCATTTCACCTAATAAAAATTGTTAATGCTTAGGTTTGCCAACTTCAAACAGCTCACAAACGTTAATGTCACAAATGTTCTCTCCACATAAAAAATTCTGGACAAAGAATTTTCATTGAAATACTGTAATACGCACTGACGCTATCAATAGGCTTTCACAATGTAAAATACGAAGGTATTGTGTACCATAATCATTATTTATTTACTACAACAATTATTAAATAACTGATTGGTCTAACGATTTAACATAGTTCTACACATTTATAAGAGCTATTTTTTACTCTTCATATTACTAATTAGTGTTATTAATTCATTGTGATCTATTTGTAGGTGTAACTTTAAACTTGTTAAGCCATTACTATTATGTCCTTAACTTAAGAAAATGTGTTTGAAATTTGATTTATAGTATACTAGCAACAGAGCACGTGTTATTAAATACAACGGTCTCTAGTAAAATAATGGTTATGAAATTCATACACCACTTTACTCACTAATATTATTGGTACAGTTTAAGCATATAGCATTAGAATCACACATTTAACATAAGGAACACACTTTAAACACAAATGCAAATTTTGTTAACAACAATATTTAATCAAAGAAAAATCAATTAAATAACAATATAACAATAAGCTGTTAAATTATTAACACATTTTTCGTATGATTAGATTATGCATACTAGCCTACATACATTTGTATAGATACTATGACAGTTACCTTTAAAATAGTGACTTACTCTTCAATTTGTATTAACTTTTATATACATATGTCAAACTAATACAATAAGAAACTAATACTAAATTACAGATTTATTTATAGTATAATGTCCCTTTAGTCCAACCTAAAGTAGTATTCATAAAGTAGTATTAGTTCCAAATTGTTTAAGCTATGAACTAAACTATCTGGGCAGCCAAGTAGTTAAAGTGCTCGTCTTATATCTGAAGGTCGCTGGTTCGATTCCAAGCGAGATACATTCTGGACCTATATGACACTACTTGGCTATCAATTAATTATGGTATCTAATAAAAGGGAAATGTTAGATAGAAACAAGACTAGAGTTTGAACCGTTGCCTTACAAGATAACGCACAAAAAAATAAAAAGCATAGATAACCCAACATGACAAAATAGCCCCAATTCCCTTAATTACAGAAATATACTTACAAACATTTTATATAAACTAAGACTGTGTCATACTCTGAAACCTCTTTGAGTGTTTGACCACCATGGGGCGCTGAGCCCTACAAGTTACTGTGTCCGATGTTAAATTATTTTAAATCCAACATAAAAACGTAAACTTGGTGGTCCCGAGGTCTCGGACAATAGTCACCTACAAGTGTAAATAAATAGTGAGAGGACCATGTTGTCGTGCAGTAGCGGTCTTCGCAGGTTTGGGAGTCTTCTTCATGTACATTACAAATTAGGGTCAATGGTCATATGAGTTAACGCGACCTTGTAGAAGCCAAACAGCACGCGCGACACGCACATCATTGTGTGCGTGCGCAGACGGCTCACAGACGCGCACAACAGCAACAAACATATTGTGATGTCATAGCTAGGACCTGACAAGTTACCTTGTCGTCTAGCCGGTTCATTGTCATATAATAATGAATAAATACGAAAAACTACTATTTAGACAAGTAATTTGCTGGGCAATCCAGTAGCTACATGTAAAACTAAATAAATTAACATCTTTATCGAATCAAACGTTAACTGGCTGGAGAATTACCTGGCTAGTGAGTTCAGTAGTTATAAAATGTGGGCTACTCATCAATGTAACGAAATACTAAAAGTTTGAAAAAAAAAACTGGAATAAGAACAAAAGCTAATATTTTATGAGATTGGAGTTTTAGAATTGAATTTGATTTTTATGTTGTAGTAGACATAGCATAAAATAAAATTGAACAATAAACATGATGTTTGCGTCAAACTCCTACACACTGTACATTTTTAAATAGTTTAAAATGTTGCTTACTCAATGTATTACTGTTTGGCTAAACAATTAAACAGCACCAAATTAACAGAACAACTCACTTTTAAGTGAAGAGACCAAGTGATGGGACTTTTTGACTATAATATAATAATACAATTACCTCGTCACAGCTCTGAAGTTTCCGTATATTACGGCCGTTTCGGCATCAAAATGCCATCCTCAGATATGTATAGCCTATCTACCAGATTTGGCGATATGGCTGATGTACAAATGTACAAATTCGCTTAGGCTGCGGGATGTCTACAACGGTAATATTTTGGTTTCAAGTGATGTTGATCTGTGACATTAGCCTGATAAATTTCTTTGATTTCCAGTGCATTCGTATCTAGGTTCTAGTAATTTTTACCTATTTGGCTCGTATGTAACTGATTCAGGATATCTCAGAGTACGATTAATATCGATATATTTAATTTTTACATTAATTTCATTGCACTATCATGTGCTATTATTAAATATGTATTTAATAATTTTAGAGCCAAAGAAAAAATTTATATGTATATATAATTTTAGTTAGCAAGGCCACCCCTTCTTAATATGCAATATTTTTTTAGTATCTATCTCATCCTCTTCGTTTACTTAAATTTATTGATCAATGAAACTTCTTTATACAGTGTGTAAATTAAGTATTGAAACAAATATGTATTTTTTAAACCGAAATAGATAGAAATATTCTGTTTGTGGCAATAATTTTTAACAAAGATTCAGCAATTTTTTACATCAAAAATATTGTTTAACCCCCCTAACAGGGTAATGGGTAGGGGGTGACTCAATGTTTTCAAATAGCAACCCCTATCGAGTGACCCCTCATTTTTAAGGATTTGTCAAAAGAAACACAATGAAGCAAACCCGAGGTAGATATCTCACCCCTAGCCAAAATGGCAGGCATTCCAAAATTTGATTTACTGTATATGAAAATGCACCAATTTTACAAATAATGGAAATAAATCTGTACTTTTAAAACCGAAATAGATATAAATATTCTGTTTGTGGAATTGATTGTTAACATAGGTTCCGCAATTTTTTACATCAACTATATTTTTTCAATCCCTTTAACAGGGTAGGGGGTGGGGGTGACTTATTTTTTTCAATAACAACCCCTATTGAGTGACCCCTCATTTTGAAGGGGTTGTTAAAAGAAAAACAACGACGCAAACCCGAGGTAGATATTTCACTCCTAGCCTAAATGGCGGATATTCCAAAATTTAATTTTTGTAAAAAAGCACCCATTTTGGAATATCCGCCATTTTGGCTAGGGGTGAGATATTCACCTCGGATTTGCGTCATTGTGTTTCTTTTAACAAAATCTTCAAAATGAGGGGTCACTCGATAGGGGCTGCTATTTGAAAAAAATAAGTCACCCCCTACGCCCCACTTTGTTAGGGGGGTTAAAAAATATTTTTTATGTAAAAAGTTGCGGAACCTTTGTTAACATTTATTGCCACAAACAGAATATTTCTATTTATTTCGGTTTAAAAAATACAGATTTGTTTCAATACTTAATTTACACACTGTATATACTACCGTAACTTTATACACCTTTGTTTTAGAATGTTGTAGTGGTAGTACTGGTATCATAGTGGTTTTTAATCAGCTGTTTAGTGATCTTTCTGATCAACTGCTGCTGCTAGCTGCTACTGCCATAGCCATTAGAAATGAAATAGGTAGTCTAGTGTCAGTGTCATTTTCGTCAATTGTGTTGAATTATCTTTATTTATTTATTTATTTTGTTTAGTTTATGTAAGATTTTGTAATTTTCCAAACTTTGAAAAAATGGCTTTGAACGTAATAGGTGCTTTTGGTAAGTATAATATTTAATTTAAAACTATTATAATAGGCTATAAACTTAGACCTAACATAACTTAGTCTTTATTTTGTGCAGGACTTCAACTGTAATGTAGAGATTCAAGATTCAAGAGATTCAAGAGATTTATTATACCATTAAGTAAATAAATACAATAGGTAACGTCAAACTATTCTAAAATAAACAAACCAATGCATATAAGTAATCAAACGTTCATCATTACAAACCATGCTGAAATAAAAAATGGTTAATCTTCACAGCAAACAAAACAGCAAACCATGCAGTTATGGCAAACAAAAGAAAATGAAAACTGTGACACATACCTGAGTGTAAAAATAAAATTACAAACTAAAAACAATGGCCAGCCTTCAGAGCATCAAAAAATTCTTTAGTTTCATAAAAAGGATTCGTTTCAAGCCAATCTTTTACAATTTTTGTGAATTTTGACTTCCGCAATGACCGTACACTTTCCGGGAGAGCATTGTAAAACTTTTTGCCTGTAACAGGAAAACAGTTATTAGTTTTACTCAATCTATTGCTACTTAAATGTACATTGTTTCTATTTCTTGTAAAATATGAGTGGACATCCTTGTTACAAACCAGATCTTCTTCCATGTCCTTAATAGCTAACAAAGATTGATAAATATATACATTTACAACAGTCATAATACGAAGTTCTGCAAACAAATGCCTACAATGCTCCAGATAATGAACCTGACATATTATTCTGATAGCCTTTTTTTGATGGAGCAGTACTTTCTGAGCATGCGGGGAGTGACCCCACAGGAGCGTGCCATATACAATATGGGACTGAAAAAAAGAAAAGAAAGCCAGTCTCAAAAAGTTAAAAGGTAGTTCAGAGGTCAACTTCCTCAAAAGATGTCTTACTCTACTTAATTTTACACAGAGTGCATCTATGTGGTCATCCATCAATGTAGCCTACTGAAAAAGCTTAACCTACGTTACCTAATAGGGAGTTATTCACTGATTTCATGTTATTTTAATACTTTGACTGTCATGGTAGATTTACATTTTAAAGCATCTTTTTCCATTTGGGCTTTAAGTAGGCCTACCAATTTGTGTGGGATATCAAAACTGAAACCATTTTGATACTGTATATTTTTTATTGGTCATACAACCCAAGTTTTTAAGTCATACTAATCCTTTATGCGTTTTTCTGTTTTTATTATGGATCAATCACTTTTCACACTACCAACTAAAGGTTTTAAGAGGGAGCATAAACAAATATCGGACATCCCAAGTTAGTGTACCTAGGCTAACAAGGTAAGTTTCATTATTGGCATTGTGGATTATAACAAGCTGCGATAGTTTGTTATGACAAACGTTTGTGTTTTGGTCCCTATGTTTGTTATGACAATTTCAGGAGTAGGCCTCTATTTTTGAATTAGGCCTAACTTAAGTCTTAAGTTCTTAACTGCAGTTGATAACCATAATTAAACTCTCGGGTAGAGTTTCTTAACTGGGCTATGCTTATATTGATTGAAACTATTGAATTGAAAATATTGAAAATATTTTTAAATATTATCTATTATAAAATAAAACTATCATAACCTAACCTAACCAACCAAACTTGCTGATGGTGAAAAAATCGCATGAAGGTTTACTAATTGAATCGATAGTTTCAATCAATATTAGCATAGCCCAGTTAAGAAACTGTACCTCAACTCTCTATGAAATAGTAAGTTAACGGTAACTTCCCTCGTATGTAGGCAGTGTAATGTATGCCTACTTTACTATATAGGCCTAATTACTATATTGAACTCACTCAAGTCTGAGATCCTGCTGTGGAATTCCATAAAAAAAAGTTTTGTCGGATGTGTGGACCTTTTCTAACCAAGAAAAACTTAAGTACTGTATTTGTTTTCCTAATCCAGGCCAAATTAGTATTTATTCTTGGTAGGTAGTATTAGGCTATGTCCTTGAGCCTAATTGTTGTTAGGCTACCTATCTAACTTAAATACTTTTTTGTAGGCCTACAGTCTTGTAATGTAAATTTAATCTAGGCTATGTGTATTTTAATTTTTAAGATGTTATTTGATTTAGCCTATTTGACAAAATTGTAATTTTCCAGCATTTTAGAAGTAATCTTTATTGAAGTTTCAAATATCTGATTCACTAATTCAACTCAGGATCAAGAGCACCGTTTCAACATAACTTATTATTTACTAAGTTATGCATTTACGAGGGTATTCTTTAAATTAAGGTGTTGTAAGAACAAGCACGCCAGTTATAGCCAAGTAAGCTAGTTCAAATTTGATACTAACTTTGTGTTCTTTACTTCCCCAACTACTATTCTTGACGGTTCCCATCCCTATGATGATGTTAAGGAAAATTACACCACCAACATGTGTGAATCACGCTCTGAGGTTAGATGTGAATAATCCTCCTAATATTGAACTATATTTTCTAATGAGTGTGGTTAAGCTTCCAATGTATGTATTTGCAGCCAGAAAAGGTGGTTCCCTCAGCCAAATTGGTGTGCGAAACATTGCATCCCTCGCTTCTCTCCCTGAAACTCATCAAATGCTGTACAAAACAGTCCGTGATTTTGCCGAGGCAGAACTGAAACCATATGCTGCTAAGTTTGACAAAGAACATTTATATCCCAAAGAGCAGGTGAGCTTAATGTATTTGTTTGTTATTATTTTCAGATACTGTAGGCTAAACAGGGCTAAATATGAGGGGGAACACAGTGTATAACATTGTGGGACTTCTTTCCAGTTGAATATTTTATACCATTTTTGTAAAAAATCATTTCTAAACTATCACTGATGCTGTGTATTGCTTACCACTTTTTGTGTGGAACTGTTTATGGAAATAGGTTCCTGTTCAGGTACCGGTACCTAAAACCACAGAGAAGTAACTTAAGGAACATAGAATACATTCCATGGTACATATAAGTGGTGTCTAGCACTAGTGCTGGTGTCTAAGGCAATGTCCCGCACAGCTCCCCTCGTCCTCACAATGCTCATGGTGGAGGAAGACCCTGTGCCCTGTGGGATAGAATTTCCAAACAGCCCTTGCCATTCAGGCTCTTCTTTGCTCCTCACAAGTATATTTCCGTCCCAAAATACCAGGGCTAAGGGTGCACGGTCATCCCATAAGCATGTTTCATGGAAATTCAAAGATAAAAATACTTCATATTTAGCTCTCCTGAACAATGTCTTGCTTGTATGCTGTTCTTCCTCTTTTTGTCCTAACCACCCAACTATTGAAAGTAAATGGGACATGTTTGGATAGTTTCTTTGTTGTTATTTATTTTTATTTAATCTATATTGCATTTTGATTGTTCATTAAACCATGTGCTCATATTGTTGTAGCATTGTGATTACAAATTCTGTCTATCTTAGGTTGTAGATTGCTTATCTTGATTTAAAGTTGCACTGAAATGTAAATAAAAAATTTAAAAACCATTATAATCTTCTGAACTTTTTTAAATAGCATATGTACTTTTTATTCGTTCAAACAGTTTCCTCAAATGAGGTTATGTATTTAAATCAAGTTTTGTGAATATAACCTTACGGTAAAACTGTTTCAAGCTAGGCCTAGTAAAAAAATTAATGCAGGTACATATTTATTTTATTTTTTCAAAACTGCTCTGTTTAATACACAATGTTAAATAACTGCAACAATTATTTCTTTGTCTGCTCGTTACTACCTAGATTCAAAAAATGGGAGAGCTGGGTCTTATGGCAGTAGAAGTTCCAGAAGAATTTGGAGGAACGGGTCTCGATTATTTGGCCTATGCTATTGCGACTGAAGAAATTTCCAGGTAGGCTAGTTGTTGTAATGAAATGAGATTTCATTATTGTTCACAATGTACTATGAATCTTGTGAAATTTTATTTTGAGTTCACTACTATAGTGGCTCAGGATGAAGAGATCTTCAATGCTACCATGTTCGTTGTATGACCCTCTGGATTTCTAATAGGCCTATACTGGTAGAAATACAAATACATGTATAGGCCTATCTATATGCAATAAGAAGCATTTTGTATTTATTATTATTATCAATTTTGAGATAGGGATGCCACCTAGGTGCGAATTTTAACCCAAATATGAGTGAAGGATGAGTGTAGAATTGAGTAAGATGATCGGTGTAGCTTTGTTACTTATTAAGATCAGCTGTCTCATTAGTAAGGAATTTATCAAAGGCCTAATGATCAAAGACAGCTGGGTCTTACTTGATACTTGATACTTGATACTTGATGTCTTCATCCTTGACCGACATTATCGGATAGATTGATTATAGATTATTAGATTATTATACACATTTCTCAGGATCGAACTGGCAAAATTATGACTACTAGACGAGCACTATAACCAATATAATACCCTTGCCGCAACAAACCTTCAGACTAAGTGAATAATTTCAGTTTACCTTTTATTCGATAAGACTAAACTGGGAATTTTAAATGTAGTCTTTTTACCGTACGGTACAGTTTTTTGGATTTCGCTCCATAATCTCTACAACAATGTCTTTCTGTATTCAAAAGAGTTTGTTACCGTATTTTAAATTTTACACAATGACTTAAATGGAAGTTGGACATTTCCATTTTCAAGGCTAAAAATTGTAAGAAAAAGCAATTCTAATAAATGTCAAAACAACACATGGCACATTCCTGCATGATCTTGCAGGTTTGTAATCTCAATCAAGCTTGAATTATAATGAGTCATGACCTTGGTCTTAGGGGTTGTGCTTCAGCTGGAGTGATAATGAGCGTAAACAACTCTCTTTATCTTGGGCCCATCCTCAAGTTTGGCAACCAGAAGCAAAAGGAACAGTTCATAACACCCTTCACCAGCGGCTCCAAGATTGGATGTTTTGCTCTTAGTGAGCCAGGTAAATACATTACTCTAAAGCTAAGTAATTTTTAAGCTAAAAAGACTTTTAGTGATGTTTCAAAAGCAAAACTCGAATCTCAAAACCACTAGAAATTTAGAATAGTTTCGGCTTTGAGATTAGATTGGTGATTGATTGAATTGGTGATTGGTTGAAAATCAAAACTCTAAAAATTGAAATATTTTTTTTACGATAATTTTGTTTTTCATGGGAATCACACCTGTGTATATTGTTAAAATGCAAAGGACAAGCCTTCAATCCTTCTGTTTTGATGTTCTGTCGTCACTAGTGACGTCTTGTGTATAAACATTATTAATTTTTTTCCCCTTTCCCTCTCCCAAATAATTTTTTAGTAGCCATCAATCAAGGTTTTCATAACCAAACAAGTTCCATTCGCTAAGTATTTTACCCACAAATTACACAGATTTATAATCTGCCTTTTGCATTGTTGGATCATGTATGAGCTTATTTAAATCACATAAAAACATTTGTCCAATTTCCGTGAGTAGTTATAACAAAACTACTAATTTGATTTGGTATTTAAATCCTACAGATTTGTTAAGATCAATATAACATTCAAATTATGATAGCCTATTAAAAAATGTGGTGCAACAAAATCTTACCAAGCCGGAATGAAATTTTTAACTTGTTTTAAATTTCAAGAAGCCTTGACAACTTTATATACAGTTACAAAATTTTCTTTTCCTACTACTTTTTCGTGGTAGTAATATGTTGTTTTACTGTCAAAAATATCTCTAAAAAAATCTTTTTCAGAACTTAATATTGTGCTTTATGACTAGAAGCATTAAAACATTTTTGGTTTATTATATAACATTTTCAAGTAAAGCATACTTGTTGAGAAATATCAACAGAAGATAACCCCTTTCTAAATTCTACGGCCAAGGTGAAATCTAAAGATGGACTTCCGTAACCGCTATCAACAAACAATATTCTTCAAACCAGACTTCTTGCTTGTCAGTAATTTATTCTGATTGGTTGTACAATTTTTATAAATTAACTGTAGTATTTATTTAAAGTTAAATCATAGTTGATAACACTATGAATTACTTTTGTCCTTCTAATGTCTATGCTTTTCTTCTTCTTGTTACATTATGTTATCCTTGATTATTTCCCTATTACAATAGCAACAAACCTCCCAATTATTTCATCACAATTTTTGTTAACCATACCTATTATTCTGTAGTGTTTTACTTTTCTATTTTAAAATAAAATGAAATGAAAACCTTTCAGGGTTAAAAATTTTTTAATATTAAATTCCTAAAATAAAAAAATATATTTATTATATGATATATAACGCTTTTATAGCGCATATTTTTCTAAATTTTCCTGAACCCCCAGAAAGGCCCTAGCCTTCAAAACTCCCTGCAATTGAAAATTTTCTGTGTGTGGGGAACTATTGACTTATTATATCTCCATTAGGCTGAAAAAATTTTAACTAGGCTTATGTATTGTTAAAATGTTCAATCTTAAAACCTCTAATGCCGAATTGCATGAAAACCGTAAATATTAAGAAAATTGTTTTTAATATTAAGGCCTACTATTTTTCCAGATAGAATTTTCAAATTTGGTATAAATGTCTAGTTTAGAAGGTAAAAAGAGCTTAAGAAATTTTGTTCCAATATCTCAAGCTATTTCAATATGGCGGCCATTTAAAATCTTTAATGCCAAATTTCATGAAAACCATAAATATTAGGAACATTGTTTTACAATCAATAAGATAGAGAATCTACACAATTTAAAAAGACTACCATACTGCTCTTTTTTTATAAGTTAGGTCCTATTAAATTGCATTAACCGAATGTAGAAAAAAACTGATAACTTTTTGTCATCCAACTTTAACAAACAAGGCCTCATTTGATTTGGATTTAGATTCTCTATCTTTTTGATTGTAAAACAATGTTCCTAATATTTACCGTTTTCATAAAATTTGGCATTAAAGATTTTAAATGGCCGCCATATTGAAATAGCTAGAGATATTGGAACGAAATTTCTTAAGCTCTTTTTACCTTCTAAAATACACATTTATACCAAATTTGAAAATTCTATCTAGAAAAATGCCCAAGATATAAAATAGTTTTTAGAAATCACAAACAGACCAACATACAGAAATCTAGGCATTTTAGACCTATACATATATGGCATTTTATATTTGTCTTAGCCCAAGGAACAAGTCCTCAAAATATGTCCACACAATTTGGAAACACCTTGTATAACTACATTTTGGAAGAAGCCCCTGAATCAAAATTTTAAAGAATATTTACTCAGAAATTCAGCATTTGAATGTATGTCACTATATTAAATAGCGTACAAATTACAAATGAAATATAAACGTTTATTCTAACTAATTGTGAATTCCTAAGTGTAGAAAAGGAGGATAGCAGCTGGCTTAACTATGTGCTGTATCTTCTATGGCCTACCTACACTTCTTAAGCTAGTTACTATCCTCCATATTCTACAATTCAAAGTCCTGACATAGAGCCTTTCCTCGAACAAAACTAAATGTGTTCTTTTTCAGGTAATGGAAGTGATGCTGGAGCAGCATCCACCACTGCTGTTGCTAAAGGAGACAACTATATTATAAATGGCACCAAGGCTTGGATCACTAATGGCTATGAGTCTGAGGCTACGGTCGTATTTGCAACCACCGACAAGAGTAAAAAACACAAAGGAATCAGCGCCTTCATAGTACCTAAACCTAGCCCGGGTAAGTTGATCACTATAAATACAAGTCCAACAATATTAAAATATTCAACTTAAAAAATTACTACTAATAGGTAGTGTACTGATAGTACCAGTACCAAAATCCGATTTTGGTCAGGGACTGGTACTGGTACCAAGACATCACTCAACAGAATATAGTTTGTTTATTGTTTTCGCTTTATTTTTTATACATACAGTACGAGAATAGTATTTTAAGAAAGGACCAGTTTTGCGTATAGGTACATAGTTCGCGATTATGCCACAACAAGACTCCTTGCTGCTTACTGACATTATTTGTGAACAGAATGACACCATTTGCAGCTCTGTAGCTAACATATACACTTAGCTGTATGTTAAAAAAAAAAATATTGAATCTCCTGCCGCAACAGAGATAAGGTCAATGATACTTTTTTTATTACGAGAAATATACCGCATGTTGACATTCATTACAAGATGACTGAAGTGCATGATTCTAATGCAATGATAGAGGGGAAAGTGTAAAAATGGCCGTGAAAATGATAATTTCAGTAGGAATTGTGTTTTTGGTGAGTACCTCAGACTTCTCAAAGAAAAAGGTTTCACAGCCATTTTACACTCCATAACCCTACTTGAATCCATACATCTTAAAACAACAAATAATGACAATTGTTATTCTCTATAAGGATGTATTTCTGCAATAATATTTTTCAAAAGCATTGAAGCGAGCCATGACAGCAGTTTTAACATTGAGTATAATATTTTTAGACAGATTATATAAATTTATCTTTTCCATGTAATTCTGAATTTCATAATCTTAAGTATTCTTAATCAAGTCAAGTGAAAGTGTTGCTGGAATAAACTTTAGGAATAAACTGGAATAAACATAGTTTTTATTTTTCCTTATATAAAAAGTTATCTTTCTTACTGCCTGGTAAATGTATCAAACTATAAAAATCAATGTGATTTCACAAAATGTATAGATTCATGTAATAGTTTTTTACCGGTCTATGTGTCTACATTAGAACAAGCAAAAGGTCGATATAACTTTTCCGTTTGACTCAATTCTTGGTTTATCAAGTAAAAAGAATGCATAGCTTTATAAAACCAATCCAAACCATCATTACTATGTTGTTACAACCTCTCTGTGAAATCCACAATGAAGCGTGGTCAAGCTGTCGCTGACAACGAGCTTCATTGAACTCATTTAAAAGTTATTGACTCAGCTCTTTGCTGTAAGCTAAAGAGTGATATAAAAGGTCAATGTGAATCGTAAAATATGTAAACCCACCATTAACTAAAAGGAGATAGCGAAATTATCAATGAAATTTAAATTGGTGAGGAAGAGCTATTTTGATTTTATAAATATTTAAATAATAAAGTATTGGCTAGTTTAATGTAGACAATTAGATTGTATAAATCTGCTGGTTGGGTTACAAGCAAGGCTTCTGGACCTAGATGCTATTTTTCACTGTGTTATTAATTAATGATACTATCCAACAATGTGGAAGTAAAGCTGAGAATCATGATCTGATAATGTGTTTAAAAATAAACGTCATGAAACTATTTCAGTGTTTAAATTGGTAACAACATTGTCAAGGAGGGTTTCACTGGTGTCAGTGATTCTAGTAGCATGATTAACTAATTCGTGTAAATTGAAAGATAAAAAGATATTTCTTAGCTTCTCAACACTTGGATTAACAGAATTAAGAAAATCAATATTCCAATCTCCACACAGTACAATTGACATATTATTTTTCAATAAATGGTGAATTAACCTTTAAATGAGTTAATAAATTCTTGTTCATTATTGTGTGGAGGTCTGTACAAATAAACAAAGTCTTCATTAAAAACAATACTATTTACACTTTTAATATTTACAATGCAAAACTCGAATTTAAATAGATTTAATTGAAAATCAATTCGGACAAATGGAAATTCGCTTAGTCGGCAGGTTTGCTGCGGCGGCGGTATTTTATTTGATGAGTTGTTGGGATTCATTTGAACTTCGCCATTTTTGACAAATAAAAATAGAAAATATAGGAGATAGCAATTTGTATTATACTTCAGGAAGTTGCATACAGTATTATTCAGCACTTAATCTAAAAAAAACTAACCTTGTCGTAGGCTAAGCAATTTAATATCGAGCTAATTTTACGGCAGCTTCTTTTTTACTTAATTTGGGTTTCCAGGTCTTTCCCTTGGCAAGAAAGAAGACAAGATGGGTATTCGAGCTTCATCAACTTGCAGTTTAATCTTCGAAGATTCTTCTGTCCCCAAAGAAAACCTTTTGGGAGAACCTGGCATGGGTTTCAAAATTGCAATGATGACCTTAGGTAATATGTTGTGCAAAACAAAACAGTTGACTTTTCACAAGGAAAATCAGTTAAACACGCTTTAATGAAATTTAAAGTTAATCACTGTGTAAGCGCATGATGTGACTCCATCAACATACAAAGCGAATATATAATGAAATAATATATTACTTTACAAGGCTGGGAAGTAGGGTGTTTACTTTCCTGATAAGTTGCGTAAGATACTTTTTGGCATGATACTAGTAACAAGTTTTTACAATAAGTTTTAGACATTTAGACTATTTTAGCATGTCTAAAAAAAAACACACCTATCCTATGGCAAAAAACTAACCTATCCTAACCTAATATTACCCTAACCTTACTAATAGGTCAATCTTTTAAAGTCATCAGAAATTATGACTGTTATTCGTTTTAAAATAACGCCTGTAATACTTAGCAATTGCTCGAATTCGAGCAACAGGTACACTAGTGCATATTAAATACACAATCAGTATCCATAGCATTGCAATAGAATTGTTTCACTGTCACCGCTGCCTGACAACTATGTATTATTATTTTTGCTGATTCATCAAATTATTTCTTCACATAACCTTAAAGTTGTAGTTGTGTTGACTATCGGTATGCATTATTATTGTGGTGAATAATAGGGTATAGTGTGGTGAAAAATAGGGTATAGTGTGGTGAAAAATAGCGTTCGTACCACGGACTGAAATGGTTTTGCAGCTCTCGATTGTTTTAAGTATCTCGAGCCGGCAAAACCTCATTTTCGGCCCTAGGTACGAAATATAATATTACTAGCCTATATGGGGGAAACATATTTGAGCCTCCCATATTTTTTATGCGGTTTTCTACACCCCTAATGTATTTATTTATTTGTTTATTCGTATGTATTTAAGTTTTTGGCTCTTAATCTATAACATTAAGAATCTAAATATAGAAGCCCAAACTTGTCAAACCATAGTTCAAAGCTCATATACTAAATTTATTTAATGTACTTCTTCTGGTCTATAAAATATTGCTGTTTACAAAATATTTAAGCAATAATGAATTTTAATGTTTTTAACAGATTCCGGAAGAATTGGTATTGCATCTCAAGCCTTGGGTATTGCTCAGGCAGCTTTAGATTGTGCTGTCGAATATGCATCAAAAAGGGAAGCCTTTGGTGCACCTATCACAAAACTACAAGCTATTCAGGTGGGTTGGATTTAAACTAACTCAAATATGCAAGTTAAAAAATGTAGTGTTTTGTATCTTTTTGTTTTTTTTTTATCCAAAATGTACCATCAAATTTTGATGCATAAAAATCCCGAGGTTGGCGTCTTTAAATCCCGGGACAAAACTTGAATATCTTTACCGGACATCGTCATATCTTGATTTCCCCTTTCTCACATCCTTTATTCTCTCATCTGGTATTTTTTTGTCAGGCTAATAAACTAGTTAAATGTGCAGTGAAACATGCTAATTTTTTTGTATTGTAGCTAATTATTATGAAGGTAATAATTGCTAAATTATGCATTGTATAATAAAATCTAAGAGACTATATCTAATAGTTTACATTTCTAGCACAAGATAGCAAACATGTCAATGCAGTTGGAGGCAGCTAGACTTCTGACATGGCGAGCAGCTTACCTCAAGGATTGTAAAAAACCCTTCACTAAGGTAAAGGGAAATCAATTTAAATTTTGATAATACAGTACTTAACTGATTATGTGACCCCGGTTATACAAGCCCAGGGTTATCCAAGGTCGTTAGAGGCCTAAATATACATTTATTTTTAAATATTAAGTGGAAGTACAATAATTAATTTATTATAGTATGTCTTTTTTTCTGGTCAAAGAAAAGTTAAATAGCGAGCAATTTATGGTTTGTTAAATGAATACTTTTATATAACCTAAGCCAGTGCTCGATTTGCAAGGGAACGCGAGATTTGCGGTACCTCTCTTTCGGAAAGATCAAAATATTGGCATAAATAGGTACATGAATATGTGCAAATCACATTAAATATGTTACAGTTCCGGCACCTTATTTTCTACAAATCGAGCACTGACTTTAACAAATATTTTACATAAGAATGATCCGCAATAACCTAGAAAATGTAAATCACATAGTACATGTACTAGGTTGGCCCGCCAACCGTTACGTTACAACCGCCATACCGTAACGCCGCCGCCGCCGCTGTGGCCGTGCCGTTGTTACATTTATGACAAGCTGAACAGTATGCCTGCAAAACGTAAACAATAGCAGTGTCAGTCTTTGTCATTGCGATGTTTTGATGTATGATTGTGTCAAGCTATAGCTCAGGTCAAACTCAAATAAAATGTAATTTACGCTTTTTAAACCGAGAAGATCCACATTATTGTGGTATTTCAAATACTTTTTCCTACCAATGCATGGAAATTATCACATTGCTATACCTGTAAATAGTACGCAAAATAGCTCATTGCCGCTCTAGAGCAGGAATGAATCATTCCCGCTCGCTAATCAGCTGTTTTAACAGTTGGTGTTTCTACACCAACCACAGCTGTGGATCCGGTACATTATTTAACAATTGGTAAGCAAATAACATAACCTTAAAAAAAGCAAACATAACCTAAATGACATTTTATATAGATCTAAAAAGTTAATCTATGCGTCTTATTATAAGTGGATTATGGTGGTAGGAAAAATATTGCGTGTATTAGAATCCCAAACATTCATTGCACCTCTCAAAATGTACGGCCACACCATAACACAACCTTATTCAAAAAAATGTGCATGAATTCAGATTGATATTTTTCACTCTATGTATTGTTAAAACATATAGTTTACAAGTATCTGTCTTCCTAATTTGATACAGTAACCCCTAACTTCAAAATCTTTGCGACCTCTGTGTTATCCGAGATTCTCAGTATCCGAGGTAGTCTCTGTTCCAACAACCTCAGTTGATCGAGAGCGCTCTGTATTTGGAAACTATTATCACTATTGTTGTTGCTATTTCATTTTGCACTTATTCTGCCAAGACAGCTCAGTTCAGTAGGAATATATATGAACAAACTTAACAACCAAATTCTCTAAAAGTACGTTTTTAATCGTTGAGTAATTTTAATAATTTTTCTGCATTGACATCAACTTTATTTTACCTCTTGCACACAAACTCTGAAAGTAAGAGGACCCTGTCAATATTTACCGTGGTAGTAATGACCTGGATTTTTGAGAAAATATAACTGTTTGTTGAACTTAACTTTACTGTTTCAGGAGGCAGCCATGGCCAAACTAGCTGCTTCTGAAGCTGCCACTTTCGTTTCACACCAAGCCATTCAGGTTCTATATTCTTCTTATTATATTACAGTCAACAATAATAATTATACAGGGTAGCCGAAAAGTAACTTGCACCCACCTTAACTTTTAACCATTTTTGAAACCTTCTTAGATATTAGGAGCTATAATAATGATGGTTAATTTTGGAAATTTTGCCCTTTAGGGTAGTGGGGGTAGGAGTTAGCTCAAAATTGACGAAGGTAAGTAGAGTATAGTCGAGTTTGGTATCATTTCACAGGTCTTAATGAAACAAAACAATTGGCATAAAGGAAATAAAAATCCACTAAACTAAAATGGCAACAAAAATTTACTTTAAAAATCCAGCTTATAAGCTATTAAAAGTAGGTATTAAAAGTATTCGTAAAAACATTGTGGTCATAATTGTGGTAAAAGTCCCCATAATTGCTGTTATCAGTAATCTCAATTTTAGGGTGAATCATTTTGGGCACCATTTTGTTATTAGTGGGTTGATTTTTATTTGTCTTTTTTCAATTGTTTAGTTTCATCAAGAACAAGTACTGTATTTCAAACTTGACTCCCCATCCATTTGGATATGTAACCCCTACCCCCAGTACCCCTATGGGCAAAATATTAAAATTAAAAATCATTATTGTAGCCCTCTTGTCTAAGAAGGTTGCTGGTTGCTGCGAACCAATTTCAAATATCTCAAATTGTTTAACACTTAAGGTGGGTGCCCTGCCTGTATATGATTCATAAGTCGGCTTAAAGTTTTTGTCATTCACTATCTTATCCAAAGAAGTTGCATATGAATTACATTTTAATCAATATATTTTTTTAAAAACTTGTGACTATATTTTAACTGAATAAACTTGAATTAATTTTCATTTAAATGATTCAAACTTGTAAACTCTTGCTAATCAAATTGACGGTGGATTGCTAGACTTAGACAGTGATGTTTACTGAACCATTTGGAAAGAAAACTTTTATAGCAAGAAGAGCCAAAATGCCTTCAAATAGTATCAAACAAAAGAGAATCACTACTATAGGTATTAAGGAGAGTGTGTTAGTCTAGTAAAGAGCATGGAACTTTGGTGCCTGAGATCCTAGGTGTAAATTCTGCCAATCACCAATGGATTTTATCTAAGAGATCATGTCAAAATCCTCTTCACTTAGTCTTAAGTAATGTGTAAATCAAAGCCAAGTAGAACCTAGCGTCCTAGGGCATGAAGGTGGACAAAAATAAAATTATAGATACTGAGCTATTTTTCTGTGTTCCATTGTGATTTATCAATTCGCCCGACCTCATTCGATTGCACACAAATTCAAATTCAAATTATAATACAAATTACTCAAACACAAACTTATGAACACACCCCAGCTTTTAAGTCACTTAAACTCACATCTTAAACCGATGCTGGAATATTAAATGTGCTGGGTTAGCAGAGTTTAACTGCAGGAAAGAAATCTAATCCTCAAGTGTTGATGGGAATGGTGCTCACTTTTGATACTATTTGTCCCTTTAGTAACATAGTCCAAGACTCGTAACTTCCAGGCTAAGAGCCTTTAAGTATACTATATGTTGGAATTGGCTAGCTCTGGAACTCGCTAACTCGGTCGGGTGGCGGAACTGGCCAACTGTCCCGCTCCAAAATTGGCTAACTCCAGAACCCACTGACTCGATTTTGTCCGCCATTTTGAATTTTTTATAACTCAAAAGCCCTCGGAGATATTTTTATGAAACTTGGTATAAACTTTAAGTCTACAGCCATAAAAATTCTCGGAAAATATTTTGATCAGGCTCATCGAATTTCAAAATGGCGGCAATTTAAAATCTTTAAAGTTACAGTTTAAAGTGTAAATGGCCGCCATTTTGAAATTCGGTGAGCTTGATCAAAGATATTTTCAGAGAATGTTTATAGCTGTAAACTTAAAGTTTATATTAAGTTTCATTAAAATATCTCCAAAGGATTTTGAGTTGTAAATAAAAAAAAAATGGCGGATTGCGGCCAAACTAAGCCGAAATTTAAAAAAAAGTGTTCATACATTTTCAACTTATATTTGCATGTAGAATGAGAATCTGCATAGCCTGCTACGCTTTACTGAAACACCCTGTATGTAAAAAAATTTGCATCCGTAGTATAGTTTAACTTAACACGGAATGGTGTAACACATTGTTACACTTAAAGATTTCCTTGAATCGAAAAAGGTACCATCGGTAAATCTTGTACCCATGAAATACCTAGCCTACTTAAATTGTTTACTGAACTATAATCCTGAAGTACTTCGGCAATTAAAAATGCCAACAGAGGTGAATTAATATGTAAACCTGTTAGAATAGTGTGATGTATTTTGCATAAACTAATTTTGTGTAATATTTTAAGTCTGAAAATAGCTACAATGTAAGGTGTTATGATTTGTTCTTGTTGTAATTGTATTTATAAAAACTAGCTGTTACCCACGGGCTTCATCCCGTTTGACTTCATAAGTATTCATAAAATTATCGATTGGTTAAGTTAAGCTGAAATAAACAAAACAGAATACAGTAATACAAACAAATAAGTACAGCTGAGGTATTTTTAACATTAGGTATATGGAAAGTTCCCTTTAAAAAGGAATTACGACCTTAAAGGGCAATTTATAAAATAATAGTTTAAAGTAGAGTTATAAAATAAGAGGATAGTTTTGCGCAAGGTTTCTCGTCATGACGAACATTTTAAGTATATGGTTTGTGGGGGTGTGACTGGTAGTTTTCTCAAAAGTTCATGGGTACTTGGGCTTTATATATAGATTTAATATACCTAGCAGGTACCTTACAAATTTTTTTTGCAATACATTAAAATGTAATATCCTTTGTAACAAATAATGAAAACTATAGATAAAATAAAAAAAAATAAAATAACACATACTTGTAAAAGGTTTAATTAATTTTTTTACTGTAATACACATTCTATTTGGTGCTTGAATGAAAACACAAATAAAAAATTACTAACATTAATTAATGTAATAAGATATATTTAAACAGGTGCTGCAAGTCAGAGATAATGCATAAACTTTTAAAGCTTTAATATATTTTATAACTGACTACTATAATTTACCAACACACCTTTTACCATAGAAGTATTTTACTAAGATACAAGTGAAAACAAGTCAAACATTTTATAGATTAATCATTATAAGGTTTAGAACATAGTTATTTTCTCTATAAATAAATGTCACTTCCCACTCTGATACGTTGGCCTGGCAATTAAAACCCCCTTTTCCTATATTTCTTGGCTGCACTAAAACTATAAAACTGTAAACTATGACTTATGTTTATTTTTATAATGGTTTAGCATGGAATTCTCGTTTGTATAATATGTTAAAAGTCCTAGCATGAAAAGTACCATTAAGAACTTTAACAAGTTTGAGTTTTTTCTTGACAAGTAAAATGTTGCAATACAAGTCTAATAACCAATCACAAGCTAACCATTTATATGAGTAACTGAAATATGTTTAAATGTATCCAATATCATCGATTAATACAACACAAACATAACATTCAATACAACATTAATTTGTTCTTTGTAGTGTTTACAGAATTATTAATAAAATACAACACTAAACAAAAGTACGTCAATGTCAACCAAAAACACACTGGGAGTAAAGTTATTTAAATTGTTTTTGGATAGGCGATAAGGTATTGTATGTATGTGTATGCACGTGCGTGAGACAGACAGGACTAGACAGGATCCCTTATCAGCTCATTATCATTTATTGTTGCAGCTGCTTACGCTCGCCCGCTTCCAATAAATGTAATTTTTGTTAACATCAGACGACCCTAGTTGTTATAAAATGTCTATATAGATTTTTTTAAATTGTACTGGCACTGTATGATTTTGACTAACGACTAAATTGAAGATCCAAATTTCGACGTATAACTTAATTACTATTTTACAAAACCTTTTAATTGAATGGTTAATATAATACTTCTGCCCCTTAAAATCATGATTAGCATATACTTAGAGGTAAAAGAATAACATCTAATAAAACATAAACTGAGCAAAGTTTTTTTTTTCAAAAATATTAGAACTCCATTAAATCTCCATTTAACCCAACACAATTGTACAAGTTACGTTCTACGTTAGGACAAGAGTTTTTATATTATTTATTGTATTTTTTGCCCCAAGCGAAGGGCTCCCCTTCAACTCGATCGCCGTGGCCGTACGTTTGTGTGAACGGCTTCATTGAAACTGAAACTGGTCCGTCACAGCCTAGCAGCTATGCTCGTGTAAACTAGGCCTAAGCGCGGGGCCCAGTGCAACCCTGAGGAAAAGTCACTTAGAGTCAAGAATTTTGGTCCTAGTAATACCTTGACGCCATTCTGCATTTATATTATTTGTATAATGTATATCTTGAATAAAGTGTTTCTGAATCTGAGTCTGAAACCTTAAAATTCACCTAACAATAAACTTAAATTTAGGATAACGACAATAAACCTGTTAAAAAAGAAGGCCATTCGGTAAGTGTCTGATTAATTGTCGAATTTATTAATAAAAACTACTGTGCCAGGGGGCCCCTGGGCCTCGCCCTCGCCCCGTCCGCCCCTAGGTAAGTTCGCCCCTGGAAACTAAATTGCAATAAGTTAAAATATTAGAGTGTGTCTTGATTCTATTTTCAGCAAAAAATGTTTTTCAACTAATCCTATCTGGAATTTCAAACATAATTCTGAGAGCCTTATTTTGCCATGTAAAGACCCCAAACTAGCTGTGAGCTCCCAAACTATTACCCCATAGTATATTGCCATTCAGCAAGTGTGAGTGAAATAAACTTCAGTAAATAATTAAGTGTTGGTTTGGAAACCACAAATTTTTAGTTTTCTTAACAAAAAACATACTCTCGGCAATTTTTAAATGATATTATTGGTATGTATTTCCCCAGTGAGTTTAAAATCATGAATATTCTGAGTAGATCAACAGAAATAGTAGGCCTATTGTCTGCTTCAAGATTACGCACAGTAAGACAATTATTTCTTTACAAACAAAATAAGAGCTTAATAATATTTATATGCTGCAGTTAAAAATATTATCTATTTGAGTAAAAGAACCAACTTAAGTTACGACCTTCAAAAAAAAATATTTCTTAAAATGCAAAAGATCCAAATGAACTATTATATATAGTATTTATTATATTGTATGCAACTAATTTAACAACCTAATAATAAACATAACAATAATAGTAAGCGTAGATCTAAATATACATTTTATTTGAAATGTGCTATATTGCTCTTACTGCTAACAATTTGTAAGCTGCAACTTTTAAGTACCAATACGAAAAATAGGTACAACACTTTTGGCAACATTGGTCAATATCCTTCGTGATGGCTCCCATTGGATGGCGTGCGAGGCTTCTCATTGGTAATTAGCGAGTTCCGCAGAGGGACTGTTAGCCAGTTCCCCCTGCTCTAGAGCAGGTTAGCGAGTTCCGGATTCGGCCAATTACGTTTACCCGTGATACACATATAGGTTACCGCAGCTGGATCTTTACTGTGGTCCGAGACCAAAACGTAAGTTAACTTTCTAAACAGTTCTCATATACCTATTTGATATATCTGAAAGATAAGGGTATTTAGTGTTATGATCTCAACGTGGCAATTTTACTAGATACGTTAAGTAGGCTATTCACTGTATCCAGAAATTTTCTATTCTAGATCCTTGGAGGGATGGGGTACGTCTCCGACATGCCAGCTGAAAGGCATTATCGAGACGCTAGGATAACCGAAATTTATGAAGGCACATCAGAAATCCAAAGACTTGTTATTGCAGCCAACATATACAAAGAGTACGGTCTGTGATGTCTTAAAATATATTCAGATTTGCTCATTCATTAATCAAAAGAATATAGTTATTTGTGCAACTAGTGAGGCAATTGCACTTTGCACTCGAGTTGCACATTATATTTTTCCTACCGTTACCATAAAACAAATAAATTGGTAAAGAAACGTAACATATTTTTTCACAGAAGTGAACTTTTAATATGACATTTAATGATACAACAGTACAACAGCGGACCAGCTGATTTACAGCCAGTGCTGACAATGTATTTCGCGCGTATACGACCTTGTCTGCATGTTACGTGCTCACTATTTCGTGCCTTCACGTTGCAAATCTGGAGTGAGACAAAGTAATTACAGTGAGACAATGTTAACATTGTCTCACTGATGAGCGAATTGGCCACTTTGCTTTCTCAAATCAGTGAGAGAACATGTACATTGTTAGGTAACTGTAGGAAAAATAAATTGCTTTGTTTCAACAAATTCATATCAGATGATTGAGCAAAGATGGCTATGTTATATACCTATACTCTTTCCCCAATATGGTGTTGTATTTGTAACAATCTTATGTTGTATTTTAATGTAATTATTGTTTTATATGTATGTTTATTTTAAGAATCCTATATTTTTGTAACATTTATATCTGAATTCCTAGGATCCTAAGATTTTCCAGGTAGCAGACCATTATCTTGCAAATGCTATATATTTGTTTACAATTGTTGAAATTTTACAATTTTTCTGACTCTTAAAGCTAAACTCTAAGTTGTCAAAAGCAAATTTCTCTTTTCTAGACAACAAATTTCCCAGGATTTAGATTTTACTCAATAGTTAATTTCTCTACCTATTGTTTGTCAGATGCATTTTTGCTGCTCAATATATATTATATAAGAATTCTCCTAAGGATACTTTGACCAGAAGTAGTGTGTCTTTTCCGAGTATACTTTATTGAAGACTGATCATTTTAAACTGATTTGAAGGTGTTATTGTTTTTATTAATTTGTTTCACATGTTAATTTTATTGGTGTTTTTGTAGATCATAAAGTATATGTAAATGAGAGCTTCCAATGTTCAAAGATTTGTGAATTTCTCACTCAGTACAACGTTAGCTTCTATGTCTATGGATCTACAAAATAAAATATGTAGCTCAATAAGTAGAAAGAGTAGAGAAACCCCTGGTTTTAAGGCTTTATAATTAAATAATTGTGCTTGTAATGAGAGAGAGTGGTGTGCAATATTAAATATATTAGAGCAATATTAGAGTAATGTGCCATATACTATTCAAGTTATGACACATTAGTAATACAAAGTACTGGGTGTTTTTCAAACACAACTCATATTACAAGTAGATACCATAATACACTGACAACGACAAAAGAGCTCAAATTTTGGTAACCCTTTATTCTACATATCATTGCAAATTAGCTGATATGCATGATTGCATAGTTATACAGAATGGAAAAAAGTCCCTGGACGGTTAAATATTTCAAAAAGTAATAAAGATACAGGTTCAAAACTTGGTTCACAGTTACTGGGCATTAAAATAATTTTATCACGTTATTCAGTGATGTGGTACCTCCTCAGGCGGATGACCCGCTAATAGTCAAAAGAAAATCTTAAATGTAAGCATAGGTTTATATCAAACCCGAACTCAAATGGGCAATCGAATAGATAATTACAGCTATTCAAAGATGCATTGAATTTGCAGTGCTATTATATGCTACCACCTCAAGGGGCATAGCTAGAGTTGCTATTATACGCTAGAAGTCGCAAGAAAATAATAAACAAATTTCTTTATTAGAATACATTGCCGCAAATTTGAGCTCAAAAGAACGACTCAGTAAAAAATGGTAGCCGTTCAAAGGTTCAAGAAATCTTTGCACGGCTGCCATTTTTGACTCAGTTGTCCGTTTGAATTAAGTTAAGTAAACAGGAATACCATCATATGAGATGTTTTGTTGTTTAGAAGTATATCATGGTAGTTGTAATTATTTGATTGTGTTAAAAAAAACACCCTACAATATATATGGATGGCCTTTGCAGGCAGAAAAACTTTAGTTTATCTCCATCACATTTAACGTTGTTCCCAAGTATAGTGCATTTGTATGTAGGTGTCTGTTTAAACAATTTGATTTTTTTTTAATGGGAGCATTCCTCAGGTAACATAGATACAAGAAGACAAAAATATTGTATTTACCAACTAAGAAAATCAATGCACTGGCCTCCAGCACATACCAAAATGTACCCGATATAGTTTAATTCCAATTAAGTTAGTCTTTCTGATGTATGTAAGGGCTGAATATGTGTGTGTTCCCAGTTGTGATTTCCTCCTCTTTCTCGTCCATCTCAGCCATTGAGGTACCTATCCCCCCTCTAAACCCTATCTCAACCTAAGTTGAGGCAGACTACCTGGGAAAAGAGGGTCGAACAGGACAATGCCTAGGCTGACCCTCTCGACCCTTAGAGTAAATCCCATTAACCACTCCTCACTGAATACTCCACTTAAAAGTAAAAAATATTGAATAATTGAAAATATAATAAATTCGGTATATTCCAAAAATAATATATTTAAAGTGATCATTTAATTACAACAGGTTACATACCTCCACATTCACAATTCCTCAGTCGAACTTCTGTTGACTACTTAGTAGTCATTTTCAAAACAAACTTTAAAATATTCGATTAACGTCAAATTTTCTTGAATAGATTAAACACACATACATAACACGGTAGACATTTAATATAGTTGGCCAGCTGGCACACGTCACTGAACTCAAAACGTATGCATAGCTGCGATGAACTCAGTGACGTGTGCCGGCCGGCCAACTATGTTAAATGTCTACCGTGTTATGTATGTGTGTTTAATGTATTCAAGAAAATTTGACGACATCCAATGAATCGAATATTTTAACAGTTGTTTTGAAAATAAGTACTTTGTAATCAAAACTAGTCAACAGAAGTTCGACTGAGGAATTGTGGATGTCAAGGAACGTAACCTGTTATAATTGATTACTGACTCCGAAAGGCTTCTTTCTACATGAATAAATTATCATTTAACGTATATTTTCATGTTTGTCCTATGCAAATCGATCGACCTAAGGTATTCAAACAAACTTTTCCCCTAATAACTTAATACAATATTTTATTTTAAAATTACAAATTAATACGTCCGTATTAATAGCTAATTGTGTAGTAATTACAAAATGGTATGCGATTTGCTAGTTCATATGTTACAGTAAACTTTCTCTCTGCGTTAGGAAAATTTTATGTATGCTAGAAAAAACAGAATGCAGAAACAAAATTATACCCTGGCCGAAGAACTTCCTGCCGAGTAACACTACGGAGACTCTCTTGTACGTAAAACTGTAAACAAATATAAATAAATACAAAAATTTTAAAAAAATTAACAAAGGTCTGACCAAAACTTTAAATCTGCCTCTAGCAATCTCAAGGCTGGAAAAAGAATTATTTAATGAGTAAATAGCCACGTGTAGTTGTTATGGAGTCGTTTTTAAAAAGGATTGAATTCATTCATTGCAACTCAGTGGCAGTTTCTTGCACTCTTTCGATTAAGGCGACATGGAGACATGCGGTGGGCTACTAACTTTAGAATAACAGCTTTTGAGTTGAAAAGGAATCTGGCAGGCCGTCCAAAGTCAGATTGGACGCCAGACAACTTAACATTCGGTAGAGTTTGTGCTGCTGTGGAAAACAGTTTTCGTAGGCCCGCCCAAAAACAAGCGGCTGCTTTGAAAATGTCTGACCTGTGATTTTTTTTCTGTGATAACCTAAAATTCATTATTTTCAGATATACGGAATTATTATATTTTCAGATATACGGAATTATTATATTTTCAATTATTCATTATATTTCAACTTATAAGTGGAGTATTCAGTGAGCGAGGGTTGGGAGGGTCCAGGCTAGCCATTGTCCTGTTCCACCCTTGGTCAGGTAGTCTGCCTCAACTTAGGCTGAGACAGCCTTTAGTTATCCCATGTACATTGTCCTTTACAAGAAATACCTACTCTTACAGTCTCCTCTATCGATAAGTTTGAAACTACGTGTTATTTAGAGTTAGTTCAGTATTAATTTACACTATGAATTGCATGACTATCAGTATGATTGTGGCAAAAGCAAAAGTATGCCTGTGGTTTTGATTGAGCTATATCATTTAAACGAACACCTGAATATTTGTCTGTATACTCCTTAAAACCAGGGATGAGTTGCCAGAGTATAAAAATTATGCATACATATTTGTTTAAAATGGTTTATTAGAACTTTTGACATTAGCTGGCAATTAAATGAAATGTATATTTTGTAGTTTTTTAATTGGAACTGATTAAATATTATTATGTATTGTGTACATGATTATATTTTAAAACTAACTCTGTTATCTTATTCCTCCCAAAATCACAATTTACAGGACTTGTGTATTAGTATTATTTTTACTAAACTCATTTCATATTACGGTATTTGAAAAATTTTCCAGATATTCTAATTAAAAGTATATAAAATCAAATATGCTTTATTCATAAAGTACAGTTTTGTACATTGAATGGAGTCAACTAAATCTATCTTAAATAATTTACAAATTTGCACATCTTAGACCTTTATTAACATTAAAAACCAAGAGCCATTAACAGAAAATAATCAAAACTAAATCTATTATCAACTAACGCTAAGAGGGGAGGTGGAAAAATACTCTTCCAGGGAATAAAATGCTTTCTCCACTAAATAAAGTTTAAGTTTTCTCATGAAATTTTTCCTGCTTTGTTTATTTCTGAATTCACTAGGAAGATGCTTAAATAATTTTTATAGGATGGTTTTTTTTCATAGAATTTTAATTTTTGTTTACTGGAAACAAGGAATTTTTTATGCCGAGTGCTGTGATAATTTGTCTCAGAGGTACTCAAGCGGGTTTTTGCTAGAATAATTGTGTCATAAATATATTGGCCATATACTGTTATATTTTCAGTTCTTTGAATTTGTTTTTGGTTGTTTTGTTGTGTTCTAATTTCAAATGATTCTGATTGCTATTTTTTGAAGTTTAGGTATGCTATCCAAATCTCCTATTGTAGTTGAAACATAAAGGCACAAACCATAGGAGAAATGTGAATGGAAATTAGCATAATATATATTTTTTTAATGTTCTATGGTTACAAAAATAAGACATTCTAGAGAGTGAATATAGAGAGTGCACCACCAGCATAATTAATATAACATCAAAACAACAGGGGGCCATTCATTAACCCCTGGGGTACACCACATTTAACTCTTTCAGTTTCAGAAGAAAATGTAATTCTGTTATCATGATTATGTGTGAACTCTACAAACTGACAACGATTATTTAGGTATGACTGACACCATTCTTTTTTTTTTTTTGTATCCCCTAAAATGAGTTATTTATCCCGTGTGCTCCCGCTATCTCTGCGTCCCGCCACCTCCGAACCCAAATCTGTCCCGCCACCTCCGAATTCTTGAGTGTCCCTTATAATCCCCTGTCACTGTCTGCGTTGGTAGCTGTCATTGCATCCTGCTGCGAAGCCCCGCCTCCTAATTACCTCCCCTCCATAGTATAAATTAATAAACCCTACGTGTATGTAATTTTATTTTTATCGAAATGCTGAATTTGTGTCACAAACGCTGAATGTTTACAACTGTTACGTTAAGCAAATGGTATTATAGCAAAAGCTTTAGTCTAGAATGTTAGCTCGGCTGCTAGACTTTTTTAAATTTAAAACTTAATTTCTAAAAAACTTATACAATAAACTGAAATTATGACTTCGACATTACCTAGTTCTCAAAATTATCTTTCCTTCAACACAAAAATCGTGAAAATCCGTTAAATGGTTGATTCAGAATCGTGAAATAAAAAAAACCCTGTCACGTTTTAATATATAGGCCTACAAGCTGTTGGCCCGTCCTACGTACGGGAATCGAGTAGTCAGTTAAAATTGTGTTTAATTGAGAACACTTCAATTACATTACAATAACACTTCTCAATACCTGCCCATCATGATCAGACAAAAAAGTTATCTATCCTGGATTCCGAATTAGCTGTTGGAAAAGTACTAAGTACCTTAATCCATGTATGGATCCAAACACATATGCCTGTTATGTTTTACACATACAATTACAGTGAAATTCTGATTAACCTAAATAAAGGTGGAAATGCCTTTTCAGATAACATCTTTTTTGGTTGGTGAATGGTATGACTTTAAAGGCTATTTCACTATATCGGTTAAAGAGGTCTACAAAAGTTGTTCTTATGTTATTTGAATTATAACTGCCATCTCAAAATCTTCAACTGTTGACAAAGCGGGTGGAAATATTAGTTATCAAGTATATGTATAAGCCCAAAATTACATATTTCTGTACTTTTACACATTCATTTATATATAATGTACAGTATCCTTGATTTAGCTAAGTAGGCTACTTAATTTGTTAGGACTTGATCGTTTAAGAGGATGGTTTAAATACAAGTTTTTGATCAGAAGTATACGTATGCTACTGCATTCGTTTCATGGGAGCCTTTATGGAATTTGAAAATAAAAAGATGCCAATGTCCTAGTGTATCGGTTCTATTTCTGAAAAAAGTTAGCTCTGTCAGTCTTCTAGTTTTTCCATGATTGAATAACAGACTACACACAAACATCCATACGTCTTCCATTCATAATATTAAAGTAAGATTCAATTACACAATTTTGAATAAGAAAATACAAAAATGAATGTGTTTTGTTGTCTTTCAGGTTTACTTCTTGTCTATAACTCACTTTCCATGGCGCATTGCCACCAGGACTAATTTTTGGCATAGTATTAAAAGTTACAAATGAAGAACAATTTCTGGTAATATTACAACACCTTACAGGTAACTTACCACCACTACTAGTAGAAAAATCTTGGCTATTGGCTAGCCATGCATGAAGGTATATGAAGCAGTAATTCAAACAAATCTTCAGTAATTGCTTAGCCAGAGGTAACTTCCCTAATGGAGGATTAATAATATCTTTGTAATTGCTTGTGTGAATTGTTTGTTCAGGAAAAATGTTTATTACAGCTGAGACAGTATAATTTTGCTATAATACAAGGTAATGAAAAGGCGACATCTTTTGTAAAAGCGTACTGATATATTTCTGATATTTTCATATTATGATATCGATATCTCATTTGACAATTACCGCTAAATAAATCTTTTACTATTTGCATTTAATATTCATATTCCAATTGGGTCATTATGTACAAGGATCAAAATTACATGTATCACCTCCGAGTAATTTTGATTTAAACGATTTACAGGTCTATATTAGATGACACTGAAAAAATACATTAGTTAAAAACATTATTTATAACAATAAATTGTACATTGTGCCAAACTTTGAACACTGGAATCCATCAACAGACATTTCAGGGATGATTTTAGATTCTTGGTCATCTGTTATCACTGCTTTGAAGATGGTTTGGGGCGTCAGCAAAAGTGAACTTGAGACGATAAGCTTCCGCAACAAGTACACCGATGTCTGCGTCGGTCCAATTATGTGTGGGGAGGTTTTGAAGCATTAACATCAGTCCCTGTAACAGTATTACAATATAAACACAGCAAGAATTTGTAAATAGCAGTGTTAAATTATTGTAACCTGCAGTCTGACATCCAGGCAAACACTACTATCCAACTAATATGTGTTTTTTTGGTAATGAAGATTGGTGAAGAGTGATCAATGTCAATATTAAATACCCCCGCCGCAGCAAACCTGCCGTCTAAGCGAATTTCCATTTGGCCGAATTGATTTTCAATTGATCTATTTAAATAACATTATTAGGTTTAACGAGTACCTAGGTTTGCTGCTACAAGGAAACTAATAAAGTAGTGTGTTTTTAGTAAAATATTGATAGCTTACTATAAAATAAATAAATTTGCCAAGTTTGATCAAAATATATCCATAAACAAGCAAACTACAACATTTTACAATATTCTCCATAAGAATAACATGGGAATTTTCAATTTCCCATTTTTTTAGTTTTCTCCGTAACCAATAACCGTACAAAAACACTTTGAGATACTGAATTGTTTGTTTTTTTAAGCTCTTTAAGAAGGTTTAGAGAAAAATTGGGAAATTTTGTGTTTTGAGGGTAAAACGTGAGAAAAACCAATTTTTACCCCATAAAACCCCCCATAAAACCCTGTTCCCATGGTCCGATCATGCCGGATCGCGAACTCATTCAAGTTTATCCCGCCTTACACCTTCAAACCAAATTTCATCAAAATCGGATAAAAATTACTCAAGTTATCGTGTTCACGGACACATATATATATATATATATAAATCTATATATATACCTATATATATATACATATATATACATATATAAAAATTTCAACGAATGGTGTTTTTGGCCTCTGGGGACATTAAAATGAAAAAGTAAATCGGTCCCGGGCCTAAGTCTTACCATGAGACCTACGGTAATAGCTACTTCCCTATAGGGAAATTCGCTAAAAAATATATATTTTACAAATTTCTGAAATTTCCTGTTTGATTTTTGTGGATTGGCCATAAAAGAATATGTTGTAACTGTAAAATGCTTTCAGGTTCTGAGTGCTATTAAATACACTACCCCTAACTCATTTTAAATAGTGTATTTTTCCACATGGAATCAGGAGTAGAACAAATTTAGGCCTCCAAATTTAGTCTAAATATATATTATAGATATAAATCTAAAGCTGTGCGAGAGGCTCAGCTTTTGAGCCTAGCCTACAAGCCTGAGCACTAGGTTAGAAAATTGAGCTCAAGCTGAGCTTTAGAGATCACAAAATGTGTCTGCGAAGATCACAAAATCCCCCTTTCACTGCGATAGCAGATGAAGATGCTAGCGTATTTACTGTGAAATACTAAACTTAAAATTTAATTGTTGTCATCTGCATGTTGTAGGAATATTTCATTGGCAAAATTGATGAGACTATGTTCATCCTATTTTTAGCGAAAAAGTCAGTTACAGTGGTCTGCTTAGGTGTTGCGATGGTGATCAAGTCCATTGAGCAATCCGATTTGGTGACACAAAATGATCCATTGTACTGTACAATCTAAATTTTCCACGGAAACTGAAAACTATCAATAATACCAATAGGAATGGAATGCTAGACTATGCTTTTTCGAGACACCATGTGATGTATAGGTGGTATAATGAGGTTATTATTTGCTAAACTGATGTTAATTTATTTTTGCCAAGATTAATAAACATTTGTTATATTATCGTTGTGACTGTGAGTGAAGAGATAAAATTCAAAACGAATAAATGGTCAATTCTTCGGTATTTGGAAAAATTGTTTTACCGAGGATTTTACTATACCGAGGTTCGTTATATTAAGGTTGGTACCTGGAAGTCTCGCTCTAGAAGCAGCTCCTGTCTCCAGTGGAGGAGGAACGCAGCACACACGTAGAGCTGGAAGGAAGCAAAGCTGTCTGACTCTGCGAGGTAAGTGTCCCACAATCTGATGGAACACCTTAGAGGAATCTCTCGTGTAAGTAAGTTGTTCATCCAACGGAACGAGAACTGCAGATAATCTATTCCATGTCTTTGTAAGTGCTTGTGTAGAGTGCCTGCTCAACAGAACATCTTACTGTAGCGCTTTCTCTGCTTTATGCGAATACACATGTACTTTTGAACTAAAATGAAACAGCAGTTTAAATCCTATTTTATCAGTGTGACTGGTTGGATCCGAACCAACACTAGAGCACTAACCTAAATTTCATTAATTGTATTGTTCTCATTGAAAATGAAAATAATATTCAGTCTTGCACATTTCTAAAAGTTACTCTCGTTCTCAAAAGACAAAAGACACTAAAATGTAATGATTTGAATCTGATAAAGATTATATTATTTACCACTTACCATCTATCCTTTGAATCAGTTCCTTCAACTGTTTTACTTTATGCTGGATTCCGAGCTGGGCAAAAATATAATTGTCTTGTATCCCATCAAGAAATTTGGAAAGGCACCAAAAAGAATCAGCTTCAATGATGTCTTGGTGTTCTTTTGGCAAAGTGTTCACTTCAAGGGTATCAAGATCACCACCTAAAATACAATAAAATGGGTTGATTTTGGTATGCATAAAATAAGTGGAAGCAGAATTAAAAATAATAACAGGCAGTGATTCCAGGTTAAGGTCTTAATATGTTGCCTTTGTGGTAGGAAAGTGCACTATAGCTAAAGACTGTATCATATATGTAAAATAATTTTGATTTATAGCCCAAAGGCACAGTTTTTACCAGACAAGGATCAACTACACCGAGAGGTCGATTTTAAGATAGGTTTTGTTCCATTATAAGGCTATATAAATTAACTCTGACACATTCTTTCTAAATTATAGTTTGTTGATAGTCACGTTGAATTTCAAAATTCAAAACATCCCAAAATGGTGTGTTGACCAACAAACTATAATTTGGAAATCAGGAGGCAAAGCCACCTTGTATGGCCTCGGTAAGAAACAGAATCTTGATAAATTAACTAAATTGTGATGTTTTGTATCCCTTTTAAATAACTATTCCCTAGAGCTAGAAAAATTATACATTTGTATTCAATTTTTAAAAGAGAGACAGACAGGAGATCATAAAGTTTTTAAAAGAGACAGGATATAATAAAGCATAAAAAATGTTGCGTACAAAAAGTAGCAAGAGAGATATAACTACCGTAGACTCTCAATTTTCCACAATTGGATTGACCACGATCGCAAGTTAAATGTATGTTAAATACAGTAACACCCAAGATGTATAGTTTGAGGAAGCCCACCATCTCGCAGACAGACTTAAGTGTTACTGTTGTTTACTTCACCGACCACCGACGAGTTTAAAGTTATATTTCATACATGCTATTATTTGTGTTTCTATTAGTTCTATACAAAGGCTCTCCAATACTATTTGTTTTGTAAATAGACGTATATGAATCAAAGTCAACAGTCATGTACATTGTGTTTTAAAAATGCTTTATTGATACCTAAACATGTATTAAAGCTTAACAATATAAGCAAATTGCTTCCTGGGTATTTTAGGCTAGGATTGCATTATCCATGATTTTGATTATCTACGATCACTCAGTTACCCATGGGGGTCTACTCTATACTGTTTAAAAAACTGCTTGATAACATTATGTTACATATGTACAAATGTCATGCAAGAGTAAAATTAATAGATTTTTAAATTTGCTATAGAAAGTTTGTAGGTAGATATTTGTGAGTAAATTTTACCAATCACAGAACAAGCATTGGAATTCAGAGTTAGTTACTATAAGTTTTGAAAATTATAAAAAAACCGTACATACCTTCAGGCAGGAATTCCTGAAGGAAAACAACATAAAACGGAGTAACCAGATCGTTTATTCCCTGAACGTAGCCTGAAGCAGGGTGTCGAATAGCCCAGATGAACAAAATCCTCTCAAACATTTCCTGAACTGTCTTTTGTTGGAAAAGGGCGATTAAGGGGCTCATTCGAGGAATGTCAATGTGAATCTGAAATACAAAATTATGTAAGGCTATGTATAAAAGCTAAAATAAAAACATCCTAGAATGCACAGATCAGAACCAATGGAAGTAAGTATACAGCAAAGTAATGTTCACAACAATTGTGTTAACTAAATGAATCAAGGAATGGAAAAAGTACAGTGTGCCAAGTATACTGAGCATTTAAATTGTTGAAGTTTTAACCTCAAATATGACTGGATATATTGAATGGCTAAAGGGTATTATTCTAAATATAACAAAACCTTTGATTAAAGTCGGACAATTTTATGATGATGGATATTTCAGCATTAATTTCTATTACCAAACCTTTTACAATAAACAAAGACTGTTTTGGTTTGCTTTGGAACAGCTATGGCTTTGCTACTTTAAGGATGTATTTCAATCAAATTAGGCAAATGGGTTAACATCTTCCTAGGCTATTTCAATACAAAACATGCATTATTACCGTTCCCTGACGCAGCAAACCTCAACTCGTTCAACCTAATGTTATTTAAATAGGGAATAAATCTGACATGTTTAACGAAATATTTAAGTGAAAATCCAATGAGAATGAAAATTTGCTTAGTTTTCAGGTTTACTGCAGCAGGGATATTTGTTAACTTTCTAGCGTTTTCAAGATGCCCTAAATGTTCATTAATTAATACTGCATTAAACATAATGGTTGTTCGATTTTATCTTGATGAAATGCATTATGAAAAAATTATCTTGATAAACTGACATTTTTGCAACTGTTATACCTGTCTGTAAGTGTCTTGGTAAGTCTCATCTCTCTCTGTGTCGAAATACTGCTTTACTAAGTTCCAGTAGTCGAGTCTTTTACGCTCCATGACAGCTTGTCTACGCTCCAAGCTGGCTGGTAGGTACCCCTGGTAACAACACAAGACATTCATTTTAATTTACACCAACACTAATGGATACGTTATTGTATCACCTCCTGCAGCAAAAGCGAGGATTTTTATCACCTGATCACTGCAGACATTGCAGGGTATCGATGTCAACTTCGATCAATCAATGCTTATCAATTCTCAATACCGATAACCAAGAATCGGTGGTATCGACAATCGACACATTCTACTCAAAACACAAGTGGTTATGCTACATTATCCATAAAAAAATATTTTGGGACAGGAAAGTTAAAACACCTGTTCAAAAGGGCAGAGACACATTGTGTGGAGTGGTCAAAAATGGCACACTCGTTGCGCGCAGTGGTCGGTTTAGGGCAGTGTACAAATGCGTGCAGCGGTCAAAATATTAGTCAGTTGAATTAATTTTTATTCCCGCTTTTTAGGGATGGACGGGTCCCGAAATTTCGGGAAAAAAATATTCCCGATTATCGGGACGGGAATACATTTGACTCGGGAATTTTTCGGGACGGGATTTGGTCCGATCGTCGGCGATTTTTCCGCTTCGCGAGTGCCGAAAACGCCGTTATTGCGAGCGATAGGTCCGCGAACGCAGGAGACGAAGTCATTTCGATGATCGCGCCGTGACCGCGGAGTCATAACGACGATCGCGCCGTAACCGCGGAGTCCTACCGACGATCGCGCCGTGACCGCGAGTCATGACGACGATCGCGCCATGACCGTGAGTCATACAGACGATCACCCCGTGAGTCACAAGTTACTATAGGTACCTGTAAATTGTTACCCATTTTTTGGTTTTTATAGATCAGTGCCACAAAAGGTAAAAATTTATTTCGTATGTCTTTTTTGGTAACTGCAATACAGTACTTTCTTTTTATGCACAGAAAAAAATCCCGTCCCGTCCCGTCCCGAAAATCGGGAAGGAAATAAAAATCCCGTCCCGTCCCGTCCCGAACTAAAAATTCAATCCCGTCCATCCCTACCACTTTTATAAATATCTCTCAACCAAACATATCCTTCAACTTCCCAATGGTTTGGGATGAATATGGTTTATATTACTTTTAAGCACAACACCTTCACTTTCATCTGTCAATATACAGGGTTTTCATAAAATAATGGTGGGGTTTGAACTGTCTGTAAACCTATTATAAGACCAATTAAATATTTCATATTGATAGCCCTGGATCTGGTAGCTCAAACAGTTTTGTTTACATTAATCAAAACAGCTGTGTTGTTTGTTGTGCTAATCAACAACCTACTTATTCTTTTAAATAAACTTCAAGTTGTATTTTCTTATAAACATGTTTTCTGTCAAGAAAAGGCAAAGTGAGTTAACTAAGTGAACGAAAGTCAGTAACTCTAGAATAACGGCCAATTACGATGTTAAAAACATAGTTTATTCTAAAAAAAACTCGATATTTAGCCCATCTACTAGAAAGATCAAGAGATTCAGTCTTCATTGTAACGAGAGAAATGTTGCACATGTGGAGAGAAATAGATCATCGTCTGAACGTCTGTAGAGCAAGAGATGGTTGTCATGTTGAAGCTTATTAGTTATTTATAAAATCTTTTTGATGTCAGGAATTCACCAAAATAAATAGTTTGTTTGTATCTTTTCTCGTTTTTGTTTTTATTTCATAACTTAACCCCACCATTATTTTATGAAAACCCTGTACATAGATATTTGATCTTTTAACACATCGCCAAGCAACCCCTGCAAACGACTTTCTATCAATCCGAAATTTGTATCCTTTTTAAGCCAACAATAATTTGCCATGTTTACTCATCATACATTCCATCTTCTCTCCATGAGTTTCTAAACACATCTGAGAACTAACGACTGTTTTCTGAAACATGTCATTAAAAATATTATTGTGTTGGGGCTAAAAGTTGAGAAAAATCAGATTTTATTAGGCAATTTCAAGAAATTTTTGAAAATCTAAAAATTTGATTTTTCCCAGAAGTAGGAGTAACATATAACAATCCAAATTATGTCTTTTCATCGCAATTTGCGTGTGTAATAATGCCTTAAAATCTTTGACACTGACTACCAAACACCCTGTTTAGTTTAAACTTCAGGATATTTTCTCCAGAGGTCTTAACATGCCATTTTAAAGAGTTTCCCCAAATTAAGCCTTCATTATCATTAAAATGTAAGCTCTCGTAGTGTAAAATATACGAGAATATTTTTAACAGACTAAGAACCTGAATTAATTTAGAAAACAATCGATAACTTTTTCACTTAAAGAAGGCAATGGTGATGCACCTTAAAGTAAAAGGACAAAACAGCAGTCCAAATGTGAGTGGACAAGTATACTTACAGCCAACAACCGCCAGGCAATAGGTCGAACCTCAACAGGTATTCCTGACCAGCTGAGGTGTCGCAGATCTTCTAAGTTCAAGAGATTAGACTCCAGTAGCAGTCGAAACTTTGCTACTTTCCCCACCATTGTTTCACTGTCTGCTCCTGCATCCAAACAAATTAACTTCAATTATAAATAGTGTATCATAGGACAAATTTAAAATTTGTAGTAAAAAATGTAAAAATAAAATTTCAAAGTTGAATGGCTGGTTTTTGTTTAGAAAGATTGCCGTTTTTTGGCATTAGTAAACACTCAAACCACTCAGCTACCTAGCCAACTACCATTTGTAGTGAAACGAGAGTAGCTTGGCAATATAACAAACAATAACATGACAAAATACAAGGTGGTCCACGGGAAACAGATGGATAAAAAAAATTATTGCTCTCTTAAAGTTATGAGCATAGAAACGTTTTATGGACAAAGAAATGAAGGGAAAGTTGTGACTTTTACAAAATAAAATAGAAAATACCTTATTTCAAGTTTTGATAATTACAGTGCTCAAATTATGGCCATTGAAACGGACACCCATTTCAAGCCTTGCTTGAAAACTTGTTTCCACTTTGTTCAGTTGTTCCAGAATACGTGTTTTTTTTTTTTTTTTTGTAAACACATGTGCCTGAATACCAAATATGCGATATGTGCTGAATATTGTGGCTGAATATCGGCATTTCAAGTAGGCCATAGTTATGGACAACTGGGCAAGCAGCCCCTTAGGGGAAGGTCCCCAGTGACATTCCTCCATCCAGGATGGTGGGGTGTTCAGCTCTTGGAGAGGTGGTAGTGTGCCATCAATCTCCCATCTGCCTGTGGCTGTGGTTCTATGGGCTTCGGCTCGCTTGTTGTGTGCAACCGACATTTTGTGTGGCAAATCCTCAACTTTGGAAGTAGCCTTTTCCTGGGGGGTGACCCCCCCAGTACCTAAGTAAGCGAGTACCCGTAAGCTCACGGGGACACTCTAGGGGAACGGAACTTTCCGCAGTGTGAGGGCAACGGCTGGTGGTCACACTCCATTAGCTTATCCCTGTCTCTGAGCCCGGAGGGTATGGTTCTCGAGAGTGTGGGGGGTTCTCCCTGGAACCTCAATTGAGTTAAGGGTGTCACCACCTTTGGTGGATAGGTTCATCCGGGTGGGTCCCACTTCTATACCTGCCTCCTTTTGGGAAACCCTGATGGCCTGGCAGTGATGTTGGGCTAGTTGGGCAAATGAAGTAGATCGGGTGCTGGGATCAAGCCCGCCGGGGGTATCTGGGGATCTATCGCCCTGGTTATCCCTGGTTTCCCAGTGAATGGGTAGGCTTCAATCGGGTAGTATGGAAATAGGTGGTCCCCTTCCTCCTGGCTATGATGGCGGGTTTCGGCCTGTCAGGGATTAGATAGGTCCCGAGTGTTGCTTGTACTGTGTTGCGTTCAGGGCATTCCATTATGGTCCTTCAGGGTTTCGGCCCTGGTGGAACCCATTTGGAGTGTACGTGCGACCAAGTAACCGGTATCCCTGGTTAGGATTGAGGGGTAACCCTCTTTCCGAAGGGTTGCTTCGGCAGCCGGTGAGCTTGATGGCCTTAAGTCATCCACCCATGGTGTGTCTACGGTTGGTGCGAAAAGCTCCGGCCGACACTACGGAGCCCGGGTTAAGTGAAAATAGGTACCGGGAAGTCGTCGGCGAGTCTAGGCTCCTTTGACAAAAACGTAATGTAATGTAATGTAAATAAATGATGTAATGTAATGTAAAAATGTAATGTAAATACCGCAGGGGGCCCACGCTTGCGTGGGTTCGTGGCCTGGGCGACCACGCGGACCCTAGCTCTCCCAGAGGGGAGGTAATTGCCCGGTGTTGGAACCGGCACTTCAGGTAGACCACAAGCTATGGACGACTGGACAAGCCAGCCTCTTTGGGTTTTACCCAAAGTGAGAGTACCCAGTGACATTCCCTCCATTCAGGGTGGTGGGGTGTTCAGCTCTGCTAGTGTTGATTAAGTTCATAGATCTTTCACCTGCCTGTAGCTTGTGGTTGTGACTGAGTCCTACCTGTTGTGTACGACTGACATTTTGTGAGGCATATCCTCGACTTTGGAAGTAGCCTCGTCCTGGGAGGTGAAATACCTAGCCCCCAGAGGGGAGGTAAATGCTCCGTGTTGGTATCGGCATTTTCAAGTTGGCCACAGACATGGACGACTGGGCATTGGGTCCCAGTGACATTCCTTTATCCAGGATGGAGGGGTGTTTAGCTCTAGGAGAGATGGAAGTGCATCATAATCTCTAACCTACCTGTGTCTGTGGTTCTTTGGGCTTCGGCCTGCTTGTTGTGTACGACCAGCATTCAGTGGGCAAATCCTCGACTTTGGAAGTAACCTTTCCTGGAGGTGAAAACGGGCAAGTACCCGTAGCTCACGGGGACACTCAAGGGCAACGTAACTTTCCGCAGTGTGAGGGCAACGGTTTGTAGGCACTTATGCAAACCAATCCCTGTCTCTGAGTACGGACGGTATGGTTATCTTGAGTGTGGGGGGTTCTTCCCGGAACCTCAATTGAGTCAAGGGTGTCGCCACCTCTGGTGGATAGGTTCATCCGGGTGGGTCCCACTTCTATACCTGCCTCCTTTTGGGAAACCCTGATGGCCTGGCAGTGATGTTGGGTCTGACGGGCAAACGAAGTAGATCGGGTGCTGGGTCCGAGCCCGCCAGGGGTATCTGGGGATCTATCGCTCTGGTTATCTCTGGTTTCCCAGCAATGGGTAAGGCCTCGATCGGGTAGTGGTGTAAATGGGAGGTTGGGGTTCCCCCCGTCAGCGTGCTGACGGTCCCCTTCCTCCTGGCTATTGATGGCGGGTTCTGCCTGTCAGGGATTAGATAGGTCCCGAGTGTTGCTTGCACTTAATGCGTCGGGGCGCTCTACCATGGACCTCTAGGTCCTGACCTAGTGGAACCCAGGTGGAGTGACGCTTAAACAAGCAGCCGGAATCCCTGGTTAGGATTGAGGGGCAACCCTCCTTCCGAAGGGTCTGCTTCGGCAGCCGGCGAGCCTGATGACCTTAAGTCATCCGCCCATGATGTGCTAAAGGTTGATGCGTAAGCTTCGGCCTACATCATGGGGCCCGGGTATGTCCTAAAGGATAGGTACCGGGTATGCAGTCAGGGGGCTTCGGCTCTCATGACAAATAAATAATAATAATAATGTAATGTAAACACATGTCTTCAGGTGACTCCACAGGAAGAAGTCACACATTGACATTGACAAGTCCGGTGAACGCGGAGGCCACACAACATCACCAAATCATGAGATCTCATGCCCAGGAAATATCACTCAAACTGCTGCCAAAGAGGCATTGGCCAGGTAAGCAGTGGCCCCATCTTGTTGAAACCACCATATGTTCTTGATGTAAATGTTCTGCCTTCTAGGTTTTGGAATGAAAAAGTCTCTTTATCATGTTCGCATATCGTGCAGAATTAACAGTGACGTGAGTTCTTTTTCTTCAAAGAAAGATGGCCTATAAACCCCACATTTTCTACTTCACACCAAACTGTGGTCCGGGTGGTTTTGTTTTCATATTTGATCCTTACGTTCTAAATGAATTAGCTCACCTTTAAATTTTATTCTGACTCGAAACTTCGCCATGACAATCAATACGAAAGTTGACGTCTAAAACAGCGTTGAGTTTCACAGTTGACTCCACCACTTTTACAAAAGCATCGTATGCAAACATGAAATAGACTTTCGACCACAGCGGCATAATGGGGACTAAATGGCATTGGATAGGGAGCTGAATGACCATAAACCTGAATTTCATCCTCCACCTGTCACCAAGTAATGCAAAAGTGTCCGTTTCCGTTTTTGTGAATCACCCTGTATAATTCAAATCATTAAAAACTTATTAAATTATATAAAAATTGCGAGAGTAAAAATACTTACATTTGATTTTTGGTACATTTTATAACTTCTTTAAGACTAAACTGAATAAAATAATAATCAAATCTAGTAATCAAACCTTTTTCTTCTACTATATCGGTACCTTTTTCTAAAGCTGTTGACTGAAAGAATCTCCAAGGATTTAAACCACAAAAATAACTCAGAAAGGAAGGTTTGGGACGGAGATGGAAATTGGCGCCTGAAAAAAGGAAATGGGCAGGAATCATTAGTAGGTGTAAGGAAAGGTAATGGTTGAAAATGCAAATGACATGACATGTATAGGCCTACAGTATGCAATAGACTCCCGATTATCCACAAGTAGATTGACCACGCAGTGAATTAATCACGATTACAAAAAATAAAAATAAAAAGCTAGGGGCCTATGCAAGTCAAAAGTACGTTATACAAAGATCACCAGATGTTTAGCATGAAGAGGCTCGTCATTTTGTGGGCAGACCACCCATTACAACTGATGAGTTGATAAGTTACATTTTTTGTGTGTTTTAATTTGTATTATTACCAAATACATAGCTCTCCAGTATAATTAGTTTTGTACATAAAAGAGAAAGAAACAATGTTAAAAGGTATCTAAAAAGCATTTAAAAAGTTGTATTAATTATTACATAAGCATGTATTAATGAATAAATAAAAAGTCAATAACTCAATGTTAGTTATTTCCAGGGCATTTTAGGTTCAAGAATCAAGAATTTATTTAACCATTCAACAAATACATACCATCAGTCTCGTCATAAAAAAAATTACAAAATGTTGTAAAAATACATATATTAATAAAAGTTTGGCCTAAATAGCCTAAACAAATAAATTACAAAGGTACATTTACGTAACTAGGTTACATAGTCAGCAATGGCCTAATTTATTGAACAGTTCAGATTAAAAAATTCAAAGGTGTTATGAATAGGGCTGTTGATAAAAAAGTGTTTTATCCTGTCATTAAACATGTTTAATAGTAGGTTTTTGATTGCAGTAGGAAGAACATAGTTAGGTTTGCATTATCCTCGATCACTCAGTGGATAATGGGGAGTCTACTGTATGCTGATTAAGATCAAACTCCTATCATAAGTCCTCAATTGAGCCCAACTCTGGTACAGTTCGGCCAATGTTTCTTTGTGCGCGACCAGATCTAATCAGGTCTAGGCAAGGGGGTTGGCAGGGGTTCTTTTGTGAAAACATTTGTGTCTTGCTACTCACTCACCCCTAACCCACCAACTCTGCCAATAACCGGTACCTGTATGTTTTAGTTCAGCTAGTAGCACCCGTCCACGCGCATAGAAGTTGTGGCCGAACTGGATATAGGCATAGGTCAAACATGCTCCCACAATTGTTTATGAACATTAATGTAACATTAAAGAAAGCTTCATAGTATGTTTATATCTGATAAAAATTGAGTGTGTTTATGTCTACTAACTTATTTATTTTTTGTTATTTAAAAACTAACCTTAACATATAGTGATCAAATAAAAAAACTACATGAAAACTTCCCTTGTTCGCTAATACTACTGTGGAGTATTGTTTATCCAACATAAACCAGCCACATAAATGTTGGATAACACGGAAAGCGGTTGAAAAACCCTCATAAACATGGTAATCAATATGATTATGATGTCAAACTCATTCTAGGCTTTTACAAAACCACCAACTTTTCCGTTTTGGATTCTTTGTTACTAATAATTAAACAATAACCGACAAAGTGAAAACGCTACTACTGTAACTGTAAAATGTAACATAAGGTAATTAATTATCGTCCACAAGATTCCAGTTACACTGTGTTTAACACATGAGGGGTACGGAGAGGTATAAGGAGTTATCTAACTGTGTGGTATGCAGCACAGAGAGGCAAACGCAAACGAGTCTACGCCTACCCGCTACAAAAGTACAGTCATACAACATGGAAATAGCACACAATTCTACGGTTCTAATTTAGCCAAAGATTGGATAATCAAGACTCAACACTGTTAAAAGTACACTAAAAAAGAGAGAAATATTAAGTGGACACAAACAAACTCAAAAACCAAACATGTAACGTACATAAAAAAGCTTCAAAATTTTACAACAATGTGAAATCTACTTGCATTATTCAAATTTAATGATATAGCCTGGATATTATTATTACAATTAATCATTTCCATTTAAATTATAGGTGTGCGAGCCAAAGATTTTCAATAGAGCCTAGCTTTTTACTATCATGAATTTACATAATTACAAATAATAAGTTAGTCAGGCCTAGTCAAAAACTTTTTTTTATTTTTATACAATTTAATATTACGATGTGGAGTAAAATTTAAAAAATTAATCAGATAAAAGGATGAAACAAGGTAGGTTTATTATTTTATTATTAAAGTTTATTATTAAATTTCACATAATTTTTATTTTCTTCAAAAGAATATATTTCTATATTTATAGAAATATATAGTTCTATATTTTTCCTTAGAATTGGTGCCGTCATAGACAAAGAGTAAAAATAGCCCACATGTAAAGAAGGTTTTTGTAATTCAGAAAAAGATTAAGAATAATGCCCAAAGTTGATGTTGAACACCATAAACCAATTGTTATTGATTTTAAAATTTTCACTGTTGTTAACTTGTATATTTTTAATTTATTGTTAACTAGTTTTAAGAATTTAAATGCTTTTTAACTGCCGTAAAGATGTCCACCAGCACAATACCCGTTTCAGACTATGACTGGAGAAACCCAAGAAAAGCTATGAAATAGTGGGCATGAAATGTTTTAATAAGATTCCTACATTTGTGTTTTCTCTCCCATATAATTCTTTTAAACAAAAAGTGTTCCAATGGCTTGCTGTTAATTCTTTTTACGGACTCAAAGACTTTTTAGACCTTCCTTCATCATAGTTATGTTTTTAGTTGTCATTGTCTAACTTTTGTGCCTTCACCTAATGCCTTGTAGTACAACCTGTCTAATTTGGTAATGTTTTGCTAACTTTCAAATGGTTGTTTTTACTTCTCGATAGTGATAAACTCTGTGATATTAGTTTTAGACCTATTTATTAACTTAAAATGCTATTTTTTCCTTCATATACTTCAAAGTAAAATTTTTAACACACATCTCAATCTGACAACTGCTCTGCATGAAAATGTTTGACTCTTCCAATACATTTGTAATAAGTCTACTGGAAATAAACATGTCTTATGTCAAGTGAATATTAAACTAATGAAAACTATTACAACAATAAATAAAACAACTTATTGAAAGCACGTAGGATTTGGTCACCAGTAAAAATCAGTATAAAATTTAGTAGGCCTACCTATTATAGTTTAAAAAATCATAATATCCTGGACTCCTCCCGCTCTTTGTAGACATTATCGTTGTCTCCCGTGGTCAAGGAAACGTTTTTATCGCCATCAGTGATCGTGGCAAAATCCTGAATATCTCTCGCGGTTTATAGACATTATAGTCATCCCCGCAGTCACGGAAACGTCATCATACTCTTCCCTGATTGTGGCAAATTCCCCTGGACACCTCCAGTGGTTTGTAGACATTATCATTGTCTCTCGCAGTCACAAAAACGTCATCATAGTCTCTCACGATCGGAGCAAAATCCTGGAAATCTCCCGCGGGTTGTAGACACTATCATCATCATAGTCTTCCACGATCGAGGCATAATCCTAGACTCCTCCAGCGTTTTTTTAGACTTTATCATCGTCTCTTGCGGTCTCAGAAACGTCATCATACTCTTCCGTGGTTGCGGTAAAATCATGAATTTATCGATCGACGATCGCGAGAACTAGGTACTCGTTTTACAATAGTGATCGTAAAAGATCGGCTCGAGCTTCATTTTCCGACTTTGTGCTTGATATCTTAATCTTGTAGGCCAGGCTCTGCTTGGCTCAAAAATTGAGCAGGTTGCACACCTCTAATTTAAATATTTATCAGCATTTTAATATTACTTTAAATGTACTTTGTTTAACAAAAGCAATTGTAATCATCACAAACACTAACTATTTTTAGAATGTACAAATAACGATTGTTATCCAAATCAAGGAAGTACAATTTTGTAGTAACATTAGAAAATTGCTAATAAAATATTTAAATACAACATGGTATTCCCTTTCTCATTAACAATTAGGTAGTTGACGTTCACAAAACACTAACTTTGGATTTGTATGATTATTCAAACAATCCCACACAAAAAACATTAAAAAATCATATCATGCAATCGCCGTTAAACAGCTTTAAATACCAACAGATGTGGGATTAAAAATTAAAGAAAACTTACCAACAGCCACTTTGAGTTTAGTGTGTTGGCGATGAGTATTGTTGAACCTGCTCGTAGGAGAGTTATGAGTTGTACCCGAGTCCTTTCTTTCTTCTGAAGTAGTTGTTTCTGAAACCAACCCGGCAGCTACAGCTTATGAGAAAACACAATCCCAAGAGCTTAAGAAATGTATATTACTCATGGAATGCATAGTAAATTAACGATGCCTCAGTAATTTTATATGAGATCCTGGAATGTATGTCCTAATACAGCCTTAGAATGGCATCATTGTTCCAAAAGTATTTGATTCTAAACTATAGATTAGAATGAGCATGTGTTACACAATTTGTAATAATCATCGATAATCAAAAAGCTATAGCACCATAATAAAATAAGTAGGCTTGTACGAGTTCCCACTCAAACTTGAAAATTTAATTTTGGGTTTTAACAGTAATATCTGCATTTTTTATGAGGTGGATAAAGGTCAAGGTTTTAGGCTGGGTACAAGCCGAATCACTGCTGCATCGCAGCCTGGAGCAGTGTAGGGACACCACTGCAATTTTTCTGCTGTTTCCCTATACAGTGTGTAAATTAAGTATGGAAACAAATCTGTATTTTTAAAACCGAAATAGATAGAAATATTCTATTTGTGGCAATAATAGTTAACAAAGATTCCGCAATTTTTCACATGAAAAATATTTTTTTACCCCCCTAACAGGGTAGGTGGTAGGGGGTGACTTATTTTTTTCAAATAGCAACCCCTATTGAGTGACCCCTCATTTTGAAGGGTTTGTCAAAAGAAACACAATGACGCAAATCCGAGGTGAATATCTCACTCCTAGCCCAAATGGCGGATATTCCAAAATTTCATTTATTGTACGTGAAAAACACCAATTTCACAAATAATGGAAAGAAATCTGTATTTTTAAAACCGAAATAGATAGAAATATTCTGTTTGTGGAATTGATTGTTGACATAGGTTCCGCAATTTTTTTAATTAACAATATTTTTTCAACCCCTTTAACAGGGTAGGGGGTGGGAGTGACTTATTTTTTTCAACAACAACCCCTATTGAGTGACCCCTCATTTTGAAGGGTTTTTTAAAAGAAAAAGAATGACGCAAACCCGAGGTAGATATTTCACCCCTAGCCTAAATGGTGGGTAATGAAAAATTTAATTTTTGTAAAAAAAAGCCCATTTTGGAATATCCGCCATGTTAGCTAGGAGTGAGATATTCGCCTCGGATTTGCGTCATTGTGTTTCTTTTGACAAACCCTTCAAAATGAGGGGTCACTCAATAGGGGTTGCTATTTGAAAAAAATAAGTCACCCCCTACCACCTACCCTGTTAGGGGGGTAAAAAAATATTTTTCATGTGAAAAATTGCGGAATCTTTGTTAACTATTATTGCCACAAATAGAATATTTCTATCTATTTCGGTTTTAAAAATACAGATTTGTTTCCATACTTAATTTACACACTGTATAATGGACAAATTCCAGCCAAATCAGAGGTGATTCCAAATCCTGACTAAGTTAAGACACCACAAGTGTGTGCCTCACTTTTAAAGCTGAGTCGAGCCTCAAAAGCGATTGCCCTGCAATTGTAAGAGATTTTGAAGCCATTATTTAACCTAAAGTCAATGATTATTGAGAATGAGAATCGGCTCATCCCTATTTTTAATATTTTATCTTGAAACTCATGGCTCAATCAATGTTTTACTTTACAGACGTCAAAATTCACAGTTTATTCACGGTTTTCATGGTTGAGTGGGTACTGTTTTATATGACAGTGAATAACAGCTCATCTAACCTTAGTTTAACAAATTTCTTGACACACAAATGTATTGTTCAGTCTCTTATTTATAGGCCTATACTGTATTAATATTTTTTCCAAGTAATCATGAGATATGGTTAGTAGGTTAGGTTAGGCAATACCTGGGATCTCACCATTTTTGGCATTCTGAGGTTGTGGTTGGCCGCTAGAGTTGCATTCTGTTGATGATTGTTGGGAAGACGAGGTTTTACTGCGATGGCTGTTGATTACACTAAGGGCTGTTGAGTGAACCACCTGTTTTGATATTTTCATATCTGCAATAAAACAAGAAATTATTTAATTTTCATAGTTACTATCCTGTTCTAAATTGCTAGTAATTTGCGGTGACCCTATCAACCGAAATTTTGGAAAGGAAGGGAAGAAAGAAACAAAGAGCTCAACAAGTAACCGCTGTGATTACTAGTGTCACCGAGATCGCTGTATATGATCACAGTTTCTCCTACCTTTGCGGGAGACAATCAGTTTTGTCGCCAAGAAGACTGCAAGGTATACTCATAGACGTTGCTTAAATCTCAGGTGACAAATAAATTTAAATGTTGTCAATCAATGTAAAATATTTAGTCTGTTTTTTTCTAATAAATGACAGATTATCTAAAAAAAATAATCCATCCGAACATTCCCAATCCCGAGTTATTTCCAATAGGTAATTCGACCCTCTAGTACTACTCGTTTTAGTGTGAACTACATTATATCAACATATTTCCATTAGTTAAGACTTAGTTTTATCATTATTACAGTTACATAAACATTCTCTGTGTTTAGTCAACAGACATGTACTAGCCATTAAATGATTGGTCTTAACAGCTAGTTTGCCAAACAACAAGATAAGTCAATGAAATCCCCCGCAGATTTCATTGTTTAGGTGTTGGTCAACGTTTTGCCAGTTGATGGGCTGTTTAAGTTTTTAATTACATCAGATTATTATTTTTCAGATGAGTTCAAAAACCTTAATGTTCATAGTTACAACTCAAGGCAAATGTTCTTTATTGTGCCTAGAACAACAAATATTCTAAAAGAACAAGGGAATATTTAGTTCCATTCTTGTTAAGCAGTTTACCGGTACAGCTGAGGAATATACGTTACTGTAGAGTTTTAAAGAAGAAGTTAAAGAATTTATATCTAGATCTGAGTTAAAAATGACTGTGTTTCATATTTTATCATTGTTGTTCACTGTTCCAAATGTTTATTGTTGTTACTTTTTTAATAGTTTATTCACTGTTCACTGTTCCAAATGTTTATTATTGTTACTTTTTTAATGGTTTTAAATCCGTTTATTACTGTTACTTTTTTCATTGTATATTAATAATTGTTAAAATCTGACTAGGCCTACTTTAAATTCTATGATTGGTTTGGTATATTATTGAATTCTTACAGAAAAACAAGGGAAACAAAAGACTGATAGAATAACAAAAACAAAGACTGATTGAATAAAAAAAGCACTGTTAAAAAACAAAATTAGAATAATTGCTGCAGACAAGCCATAATGGCTTTTGTGGCTGAATTGTATGGGTTTTGTGAATTTGTATTTTTTTGAAAATGGTTAAATTTTCCATGAGGGTGGTTTAGTACCCTACCAATATTCACATTGTTAATCAATACATCAATAACACAATTAAAAACGTGAAACCAATTATGTCAAAACTATTTCCTTTGGAGTCAACAACCAACTTACCAATTTACCATAACCTATAGTTATATTCAAATAATTCAAATCAAAATAATTATTTGTTAAATTTCATAATTTTTAAACATAATTTAATGATTAAATAAATTCAAATTCAAATTGGTTTTTAATATTATCTATCAACTATAGGTAAATTCATTTATAGGTTTGTAAAAATGGACACCTCATACTAGAACTTACCTAATATATTACAAAACTCATCGTCTCCGATTTCCCATGCATCACTCACGCTTTCTTGAAAATCTTGAAAAGACGTAGAGCTTGAATTTTGTTGGGAGTTGCTTCGTACCTCCTTCCTTGGGCTGGGTCTGCAGAAAAATATAATAAATATGATACAAATATTCTAAATCTTGATGAGGTTAGATATACAACTCAAATGGGTTATTTACAGCCTAATAAGAGATGGTTTGTCGATGTTTTGTCACCAATATTATGCTTACGATATCCGGGAAGATCATCTGTTTTAGAAATATTGGTGGTGAAAAAGTACTAGAACACACAGGTGTTATTCTCCAGCTCAAAGTTAAGTTTTATTCTTTCTAAACATCAACTGAAATTTGCTGAACAAAAACTGGAACCAAAAGTTCAACTTGACATAACTCAATAAACTCTCTGTGGTTTCCCAAACTAGACCTAGTCAGTAACATGCCACTTATACACAACAGTTGGCCTATTGCCAGATAACAGATACCAATAGTAGGCTGATATTAACCATTATATTATTACCTGATAAATAAAAAAACCATTTTTTTTTGTACCACTTTTTACAAATCGTAGATTACTCATCATTGTTTCCATAGTAATTTAACAAATGATTAAACTACCTTCCAGGCACTGGTTTAGTGCTTTTCTTCCAGAATGTAGATCCTTGATCTTCACCATCATGATTCTCCATCGCCTTAGTTCTCACTATTGACATAATCGGACCATATCTCACCTGGAAATATCACAAATAGTTAATAATTGATTCATTGGCTTATTATTCACTTGGCTTATTAAAAAGAGTTATGGATTTATACACAACGTATTGTACTGTTTAGAAGGACTTCTGATTTTTTATGATAAAGGAGTAAAATATTGTTTAGTCTCAATATGGGAATTATGCATACTCATTACAAACCAGGAAAATAGTAAGATTGTGTACAATGATAATGCTCCACAGCACAGCTTCGTAAAAAAAACGGTATAAGCTAAGAGACAAATACTTTCCCTCTTTACCTTGACATTAAAATGACTTTAAAAAAGAAAAAATAAGGGGTAAGCTGCAGGGGTAACTAGGAGGAAACTTTTATGGGGGAAAATAACAAACATCACAATAATTTTTAATCCATACCATGTGCATTATACAGCGTTAGGGGATGTGCTTTTTTTCAAAGTTATAAAGACTAAATTTAAAACACTAAATTTTGATCAAAATCGTTTGAGCCGTTTTTATGAAAATACTATTTTTGGTTATTTTATGTGTAGGCCTACCTAAGAGTATTTAAATGGCAAATTTGTAAAATTAGGCCTACCATTAAAATCAATAGGCTGTAGCTGTGTACACATCCACACACACACACACATTATTTCTAAAAACATTTTTTCGGGTTCAAATCAGGGGAGCCCAAAACGGATATTTCCACCCAAAACGTCAGACTCAAAAGTTTTGACAAACACGATACCGGTAGACCTACAATACTTTTTCCAAATACTATAGGGGGAGAAAGTAAAAGTACTAGGTTAAAATAGCCTATGGCATGGAATGCCTAGGAGAGAGAGAGAGAAGCTGTGGAAGCCAGTCCTGGGGGGCCTGCAGGTAAACAAGATGCAGCTCTGTACGTACATCTCTGACCGCTCGGTAAGAAGAATATCACGGTACAACCTGCACTTTTATCCAAACAAAATGGCTATCGTGCAACAGTTCAAGTCCAATGATTATGCAAAGCGCAACACATTTTCAGAGCAAATGATTGATTTTCATACAGATGAAAAAATTCTCACTTTTAGAGTATTGCGTGGCCAGCTTGCTCCCCGGATTTGTGACTTTTTCTTGTGGGGGCTGCTGAAATCAAAAGTTAACACAAACAAAACCTGCACATTGGATGACCTGAAGGAAGCCATACGCAAAGAAATCGCCAACCTTTCACCCGCATTGTTAGGAAAAGTGTTTAACGGTTTCAGTGCAATATTTGAAGAATGCATGGCCCAAGACAGACATAATTTGATAGAAGTAATTTTATATCTAAAACGGATTGGATCCGCCGGTTTTTAGTTATTTATATAAATGTCCATAAATACCTGCCAATCTGTAATATGTAATAGGGCCTAAAACACTTTGTATCAGTTTAAACATTTGAGTTGTTTACATTTCTAAACCGTCAGAACTTTTTGCCACTCCCTGTAACTTACTAGGGCTATCGGTTCCTCCCGTCCTAGCTAAGCGGGCTGATTCAGATCTAAAATGAACGTCGTGTTCCTTACCATACTTTATCCAACACTATTGTACCTGGTTCAGATCTGAGACGAATGACGTGTTCCTTACCGTACTTTATCCACAACTATTCTAACTGGTTCAGATTTGAGACGAACGTCGTGTTCCTTACCGTACTTTATCCAACACTATTCTAACTGGTTCAGATCTGAGACGAACGTCGTGTTCCTTACCGTACTTTATCCAACACTATTCTAACTGGTTCAGATCTGAGACGAACGTCTTGTTCTTACTGTAGGCCTACTTTATCCACCACTATTGTAACTGATTCAAATCTGAGGTGAACATCGTGTTCCTTAACGTACTTTACCCACCATTATAGTAGCTGGTTCCCCCTCCTTTGGGACTAATTACTGTAGTCTCTTCATAGAATAAATAATGTTCTATTATAACATTTCTGTGGCCTCAATCATCAACCACAGTTGCAGTTCACACATCAATTCAAATGGTCTTGTTCTTGTAAATGTTAACAATTAGCCATCCTGAGTTTTTGTAGGTACTTCTTTGGTTTGATACTTAAGTAAAATGGAGATGTACGTTGAATAAGTAAGTTCGTTAACAGTTGCAGATGAAAATGGAGTTGGAAGTTTAGAGGTAAAAAAATATGTGTTGGGGAGGGGGATGAGTTCAGAGGATCTGAAACATTCACACAATGTATTGCATGATGTAGGCGGCTGCAGACTTTTGTCAGACCTAGTTTCAAGCCGTAACCAAAGTTGAAGGGATTTTGCCTACAGACAACAGTGTGACCCCAGCCTACCGATGTGTGTATAATACATGTAGGCTACCTACCGGGGTAAAGTAAAAGTAGGCCTACCGTGTATTTATTCGTTTTTATGTGTAATTTTGTTTGTGTATGTTCGTGTTTCAATGTGGTTTAGTTTTTGGTTTTCCCTACATTAACTTATTGTTTTTTTTTGTTTTTTTTTTTTTTATCAAATATTAAGTTAGGCCTACGGTATTTGTTTTTGTTAGGGCCTAATATATTAGTGTTTCATTGATTTGGTAAAATATTATTGTTTTTATTGATTATCAATAAAATTGTAAACAAACATATCTTAACTCAATTTGATGTTTACTTAAGTTACATAGGGGAAAACAACATAGGAATGATAAATTGATTCGGATAATTATCGATAGGGCCTATAAGTATAGCCTACTCAAGATTATTCATCCGATAATATATCACAGGTTCTCTGCGGAACTGTACCTTTAGGTTTATAGGTAGGCCTAACTTAACTCTACTATATGTAAACATGTCTTATACTGTACGCCTTCACATCAACATAGCCTAAATGGATAGACCTATTTTGAAGGAATAAGATAGGAGGCTTAAATACGATTTAGTAGAAAACCAGATCTACTTAGGTAAAGGAATTTGTATAGATAAAGAGAGTTAATTTCAACTTTCATAAGGATTGTTACTGACTCAGTAATGAACAACAATACCACAACTTATACCAAAGAGAGGTGTTGGCAGCAGTACAAAGTAGCTCAGAACTGGGTAAACTAAGCACGCCCATGTCATGGATAGTAGTAAAAATTATATCCCCTTTAGCTATGTGTAGGAAAATTAGTTTCAGTAATACAATAAAGAGATACTTTGATTTAAATTATTTATAGACTATGTCCTAAGTTTAGTTGAATCTTTATTAAAAAACAATGAAAACTTACCTGTTCAACTGCTGTTAAAAGTTAAAAATTACTCCCAAAGTATATCTCAACGAATGTCATGAATATAATTAAAAATAAATTTTCAATAAAAATAACAATGGGTTATAATTTATTTTGAAAAAACCAAAAACAACGAATATCTAATTAAGTTCCAACTATTACTATTTTGATTTTAACACAGTCAGCAGAGTTCACAGACAACTTAATCAACATCTGACATTCTTGTTTTCATTTTTCATGATTTTTACTTCCAAAGACAACTAAGTTAAAGAGTTTTAAGCAATGATTTAGTTGGTTGATTTTTATCGTACTAACAGTCATTGAATAAACTATTTTATTATTATGGTAGAGTATGTTCAGAGGTAGTGTTGATATATCAAACGGAACTAATATATTAGATCCGACATATAACGAGAGTGTTTAATTATAACATTAATTAAGTGATGCGATGCACTACATTAGTTAGGAAAGTGTTGGCCTTCCAGAAAGTCTAAATATGGTTGAGTATTTTGACCTATTTACAACATAATAAGCAGGGTCGCGTTAAGGGTCAGTGGAGCCCTGGGCAAACCCAAGAGCAGCGCCCCCCTTTTTTCCTAGTGCTGGCAGGCGGTGGTTTTGGGGGCACCCAGCGGGCGCCCCAAAACCACCGGCACCCCTGGGCATATGCCCCAGTCTGCCCATTTATTTTAAAAGTGGGCCTGATAATAAGATTTGGATTGATGAATGCAAGTAAAATAGAGACTGTCCAATTTAAAGTCTTAAAGGTAATTCAAAATAAAAATGTGCAGTCTTTTAAACATATAAAGGGATTGGCTTTGCTTTTCTGTACTATGTAATATCATGGACTTTCTATGCTACGTAAGCTTAGCTTTTAGATTCATATTTGTACCTACTGTATCTGATTATATTAGAATGTAAAGTGTTATTGTTTTTGCTTTTTTTTAATACGATATTTATTTTTGCAAATGCACGATTCTTGTGTTTAAAATCTTAAGCATTTGTAATGTGTGTGATGTCCGAATACGCCTTATAGCAGACGCTTTAGTTCCCAAGTAGCACACATCGTTGGCCCAACGTTGGGAAATGGTCGGCACGGATGGGAAATGGTTGGCAAAAATTTTAACGAATTGCCAACGTTGGTCCAACGGAAACTGGTATACGTTGTCCCAACGGAAACTGGTATTCGTTGGCCCTACAAAGGAAAGAATCGTTGGGCCTTTGTTGAGTTTAAGTATAAAACATTCTAAAACGAATTTTAACGAATTGATTTAATTAAAAGTACATAAATGTTATGGCAGCAGAATATAAGACAAATATTGTAAACATTTGGATCTATAATAAATGTAGTCAGACGATGTTGTGATACTAAATACAGTGGGGAACACCTGCTTAACATATAATAATTATTATAATTCCATTTTTTTACAATATTCTTTAACTTATTTAAGCACATTTTTAATAGTTATAGGGGAAAGATTAATTAATTATATAACAATCAATTATAACAGTACCTATCCTACTAATGTAATGGTAATTAAATAATCTATATTAAAATACTAGTATCCTCTCCAACTACCAGAAAAACAATTCAACTACTTGAGGCCTAAACAGATTAACAGAATCATATTATACTGTAGCATCAAAAATATTTTAAGTATTGTGACCATTGCACCTGTCGGCTACCCTTTCACCACTTGAAAACACTCATATTCAACAAGCACAGTTAGCTCAGAGGTAAGGCGTGAGGCTCACAAGGCGAAGGTACCGGGTTCAAGACCCATTCCGGCCAAATAATTATATCTCGTTTTTTTTCAATTTAAGTTTTTATGAACGATTATCAATTTACTCAACTCATAATTATGCTTTTCATACAAAATCTTTATTATTTTGTGTTTTTTATGTTTAGGCCCAATGGGATGGTTGGCCCTTCCGCAAAAATTGGTTGGTTGGCCAACCGTAAGACTGAGTGCCAAAACATACCGTGTTGGCCAACGATTTGCCAAAGATTTTTGCTACTTGGGTTTTCTCTTATTTTCGGTTTTTTTTTTTTTTTTTTTTGGTAATTTTACCATTGATTATACTATACAAATTCCACGCTATATGTATAATCAGTTATTTTACTGCGTGCGGTTTGTAATACATTTGCAGTGGCGAACTGTTTTATCCTTTGCACTTTATATAATGTTAACATAATTTGTTATTCATTTAATTGGTCGATCTTTTTCAAAGGAAGCACCTCTTCTAGTTGGTCTTCCTTCTACTCTTTTGGTCTTCCGTGGGAATGTCGAAGCCATAATTTTCACTTAAGTTTCATACTTTGCAACATAATCAGTCATTGGTAAGAATGTATGTGTAAGGTCCTTGAAACTGTGGAACGGGTAAAGTGCCATCGACGCCACATTGTGTATTGTACTAGATATCCTAGTAATATAGTGACTCATATTTTATAATAAGAAAGCAGTTGATTATTTTATTCAATTCAAGCATTCTAGGAAGTACAATGTATTGTTGTGTAGGGTAATGTCACTTTAGAGAATTTATGTGTACGCTGCAGGGGTCGCCGGAATGTTATCCCTCTGGAATTTTACCCCGTGGGCAAAGCTGACGTCACTATGACGTTGTAAAGTTTGTTCGTGGGCGGAATTGCACCCCCGCGGATTTGGCAGTCTAATGAAAATAGACAGAGCGTGATAAACTAGATTAGCAATAAAACCGGAATTTTAGTCCCTGTCCATAACTAGCGTTTAGGCAACTGTAGATGTACGGCCCGGATTTTTACCCCCAGAAATTTACCCCCTGATTTTTACCCCCCGGAATTGTACTCCCTGGCCAGATATATAAATTATTGAGAATGATTAATTTTTTCTTTCAGTTTGAATTTAAAGGTAAACATACTAAAAAGCTTATCTTAATTTATTTGTAATCTCAACTAAGTAAACAGGTTTCGCTGTTTAATTTTTATATTCAGGATTTCTGTTTGGAGCCAACTTTTGGATAATATGTATGTATAATAAACTAAGTATCTCATTTAAAAAATGGTGAACATTTCTTGAACGATTTATTATACCACCGTGGAAAAAATGCATTTCGTTGCTGTTATTCAATAACACAACATGCCTTTTTGTTTCTTCAGGCACAAACCATGAGCTATTTATGGTTTGTGCTGAGAAAGGTCATCGAAATACCTTAAATAATAATAGTAAAGGTTAAGCTTACAAATAAATGTGAGTTGGTGGCTCAGTTGGTAGCGTCACGGACATCGGGTCCAAGGTAGCGATGTCGTGGGTTCGGTGGTTCGGATCCTGGTCGCTGTCCCTAAAATTTATCAGTACAGTTCACCTTTGTACTGTACCGGCTCACCCCTTGCTTTGCTGGATACGTTCCACGCACAGATCTGTAGTATATGTGGACGGGCAAATGCAAGGTTAAAAGAGGCCGCCAACCTCTTAAAAAAAACTCACCTGACTAAAAAAAAATATTTCTTGCCACAGAGTAAAACTTGTTGATGTCAAAATATACAATTATAAAAACATCACATTAATTATCGTTATTATATAATTAAAAAGTAAATAATTCAGCACAATTAAAATAGTACTGTTCGTGGAAGAATGACACAAACTTACAACTGTGCAAAATTTGAAAAATTTATCTACACTCTAAGGCCCTTAAATCACCACGGCGAGAACGTTCTGCACTCTAAATGCACTTAAATCACGGTGATTATGTTCAGTGAGTGTTCAATTAAATGTTGATCACTGCAGTGATCCAGTTCGAGCTTCTTGACCAATCCAAAATGATCCAATATGACGGAACACGGAACTGGCGACACTGAGCACTGACTGAGCAGTGAGCAGAGTGGTAGCCTCTCTATTAATACACCTACCTACCTATGTGCTCTATGGTGGCACTGCGGGCGCTGTTGTGTTTTCGGTCTAGCTCACCCCACTCACTCCCGACTGGCAGAAGCCGATGCGCTCATACACTCCACCATTACCTTTTTATTTGCTGGTCTGTTGAAATATTATAGAGATAATATTTCTTAAGCATGTAAAACTCTTTTTACTATTCTAAAATGTATGCCTGTTTTGTTTCTTGCAGACAATTACACAGGCGAACTCTTTACAACTACACATTCACTAGATTTGATTTTCGATGTGCATACAACTGATGTCGGTCTTCCAATTCATACACGGTAAAACAATCAGTAATTACAAAAAGGATAGAAAATACAATATCTGTAATTTCAAACCCATATCGAAAACATATAAGACATTTCTGAATAGAATAAATTTGTTCAGTTTTAGCCGAAGATCTATGTTTGACGTAATCGCGAGTCTTTTTTTTCGCTGTTTTGTGACATATTTTGTAAGAAACATTAACATCACACAGTGAAAGAATAAAGTATCGCGTTTGGTTTACGTCAAACATAGGTCTTCCGAAAAAACTGAACAAATTCATTCTATTCAGGAATGTTTAAATATGTATAATGTTTTCGATTAATAAAATTAAAAATATTTTACTATGTATTATTTCTTTGCAATAACTTATTATTTTACCTTGTACAATAAATTTGCAACTATAGCGATATCAGTTGTCTAAAACATCAAAAATCGAGTTTAATTATTAGTGAATGTGGTTTAGTGTCTCGGACCTACGTGCGGTAGGGACGGGTTTTAATCCCCGGCACATACAAAAAACAATAATGATTGGATATCCATTCTGTGAATATGATACTCGTACAGTGTTAATATAAAATATAAATAAATACCTCGATTTAATCTGTCCTGATCTTTTTCTAATCAAAACATTTAGAGGGAAAATCATTTCAATGAAACAGTTTTTAGAGAATTACCATTAAAGGTCTCGTTGTAAGACCTGGACCCGGGACTGATTTGCATTTTCGTTTTGATTTTCTCAGAGGCCAAAAACAAATTTAGTTAAATTTTTTATATATGTAGGTGTATCAGTGAAAGCGATAACTCGAGTACCATCCGTTTAAATTCATTTATAAATATATTATATGTCCGTTTGCAAGATAACTCGAGCAAAAACTATCCGATTTCGATTAAATATGGTACAAACGTACAAACCTACGTTTATTCGAAAGAGTTCGTGAACCAGCATGATCAGAGAGCATCGCTGGGTTTTATGGGATAAAAATTAATTTTTCTCGTTTTTGACCCTCGAAACATAAATTTCCCCA